AAGGGGCACAGCGCATGAGCTGAAGCCAAGCCCTTTGAGTTACCTTTCCCTTGAGCATGACCTTAACACCGACGAGGCGGTCAAGCGGAACCATCAGAGCCGATGCAGGAGCCGACTGAGTCGAGCGGAGGATGGACGGAGCAGAGGTGGTAGGAAAACAGGGAAAGTATTAGGTCAGGCAGAGCAGATATTAATATCATTGGAGCAGTCAGATCAGGTATATGACATGGACACTCCAAGTCACCAATATCACTGAGAATGAGGAAAACATCCCACCACCACCAAGTTGTCAATGCATTGATTCACTCACTTCACCACCATCATTCCCACCCCCAATCAAGTCTGCATCACCATTTTCATCACATAATATGTTCTACCCACCAATGCAATTTAATTCAAGTAACTACCCATCTTCCAGTACAATACCACAACCTCTTTATCCTCCAGCATCTTACTTGTACTATAGTCACCCATAGATATTCCTTACCATAGATTTTACATACTGTATACTAATATCTCTTGTCTGTATAATAATTCCCTTGCGCTGCAATCACTTTGATCTTCTTGTGCACCATTTGCCATGTCAGGGTTCAGATTTGCAAAATTGACACAGTGACACACTGTGACACCTGCACCAACTCGCCCATGGGAAATTTTGCAACTCTCTACTGTTTCTAACATTTTGCGTTGGCATCCCTCTGGCAGCATCATTTGAACACTTTTTGTTCTTCTGTCAACTGGAGCTCTCCCGTGACACACATAGCTACAGTTCTATATAATTATTTTGTCTTAATGTGTGGTAAACAATGAGATATGAAAATGAGGTCCTCAGACCCTTAAGATAAATTGAACAAAGGATAAAAATAGTAACTTATTTTCCTTAGCCGCCTTAATTCCATTTTTAAGTAATAACCCTACTCAATAACAGTTTATTTCACCAGTTTATTTGCTGCTCAAACGATAAGCGGTGGGAAATAAACTGACAGCGTTATTAAATGGCAGTTTATTTGCCAGTTTATTTCATACGCGAAATTGTCGGAGTGAACTGAGAGTGATTGTGATGCCGAGCAGCCGAAGTACGATTGATGAGGAGCAAAAGTATACCAGCATCGAGTATGAGTGACTACTGGAGCGAAGACGAACAACAGAAGCTCACACTCGAGCTTGCTTCATGGGACCACATCTCTCTTTTGCAAACCCCCGATATTCTCGTACAAAAATAAATGGACTTACAGCATAGAACTTCTTGCGACAGTAGTAAGCAAAAGGATTCTGCAAAGGCTTGTCTTGGAGTCTGATATAGCTACCATCCCCTATGCCAATACAGCCGGGAAAACCCCACTCGTCCATTGCATCAGACAACTGCTGACGTCGGACAGGACCAGGCCATGTCAGGAATCGAGAGCGAAGGCGGCGAAATGCCATGCACACACGTTCAGTGTAAAGATAAACAGTTCCTTCAGCAATTGCCACGACAGACGCTGTTTTCAGTGCATTTTCGGCACCTACACGACATAGAAATGTGCAATGAGCTGATCCCCGGAGTCTTTCGCCTCAGCAAGAAGCACAACTGCGAGAGTTTCCAAGAGTTTCGTAGTAGATTCTCTCTCGCTGATCCATTGGTGCTGACGTCGACGTCATTGTCGGTGCACTGAGCTATCACGCGCCATGAGTGTTCATTTGCAGAGTCTCTCGGCAAGTCGGTCGGCGGCTCCTATTTCACTCTCCGCAACACGAATGCACGTCAAACCTTACTTGACAGTTTATTCCAGTTTATTTCGTCCTGCTCGCTCAAAAAAATAAACTGGCGAAATAAACTGTTATTGAGTAGGGTTAATCTAATGTACAAAAAGGAACTCGGTGATTTCCTGATGTTCCAGCCATAGATGGTACACGAGTACTTGACAAATACGGCCTAGTATGATTTGGGTATGATGGCGTTGAACGTTGACCTCTAACTTACTTTGTCGGATATCGAAAACCTCTTTATAAGGCGAACGAACAAACACGTCATGTTGTCGACTATAATCCCTCCCGATGTTCTTAAGTCATATTCTCACTCTAGGAATCCCGTGTGTTATTGCCATAGTTGCCGCTTTGCGTCTGACTCGCAGACGTGTCTACCCTTTACCTCTGCCGCCTGGCCCTCGTCCCTTACCATTTTTGGGTAATGCTCTCCAATTGGACACAGAACGACCTTGGCTCACATATACTATGTGGGGAAAGACGTATGGTTGGTAGACCGATAACCTCTTCGTCAAATGCTTCGATTTTATTTCATACTTGATCATAGGAAACATTATTCACTCCTGGATTCTTGGGATCGACTTCATCATCATCAACGCTGAATCGGTTGCGCGAGAGTTGTTGGACAAGCGTTCTGCGATCTATTCGGATCGCCCTGTCATTCGCACCAATGAATTGTATGTCGTGCTGGTTATCGTTCAGCCAGTTTTTGATCAGCTGACGAGGCAGAGCTGGACTGGATTTCAATACTGTGCTCCTTCCGTATGGCGAGACGTTGCGACGGCATCGTAAGATCTTCCATCAAGTCCTCAGGGCTGAAGCTTCTGTCTCATACCGCGAGATGTACTCTCGCCACGCCAATGAACTAGTCATCAATCTTTTGAATACCAGTGACTTGCAGAAACACACTCAAGCGTTGGTGGCCAATTTATCAGTTTGTGACGTCTGGCCCAGTTGACGCCAGAAACTGTGACAGATATACGGCATCCCTGATCATGACCGTGACATACGGACACACTGCTCACGGAAATGAAGATTCATTTCTTGCCCGCGCGAGTGAACTCGCTGATATTGGAAAACGCGTTATTTCTCCCGAGAGAGCTGTCATGTTCACAGCCTTTCCTTTTCGTGAGTGTGCCGATGCTGTCGACGACGTTAATTTGAACCTGCAGCACGTCGGTTGCAGTCGAAAAGTTGCCAATTTGGTGCTTTGGCGGAGCCTATGCCCTGATGGCACGCAGTAGAGAATTATCTCAGCAGCTTTTGAACGAGCCGTTTGACGAGGTGAAGGCACGGGTGGTACGTTTGCGCATTGAGGATGGACGTTTTGCCTGATCTGCTCGCCCTGTAGGCGAATGGTAGTGCTTCACATTCATTGGTTGCTGACTTCCTCAGTCAAGCTGACGACAACGCTGACGAAGACACTATGAAGGCAGTTGCGTTGATGGGGTACATAGGTAAGGGTTTTTTTCCAGCAGGACGGGACTCATCATTTGACGCGGATACCGCATCTCAGCCGGTATAGACACGGTGAGGCATTACTTTGGGAGTGCCAATCATCGCTTCCCCTCACCTTGATGTCCCACAGACTACGTCCACATTGCAGACATTCCTGTTGGCTATGGTACTCTATCCCGCCGTCCAAGCCCAGGCTCGAGCAGAAATAAATCAAGTCGTGAGGCATGATAAAATGCCATGCCTTGATGATAGGGCTTCGCTACCCTACCTTGATGCCATTCTCCGTGAGATCCTGAGATGGTATCCTATCGTCCCTCTAGGTCGATCTGCAGTAATATAACCCTGCGTTTGCATGGCTGACCCATTGCACAGGAGTACCACATACGGCATTAAATGATGATAATTACGGCGGGTACTTTATACCCAAAGGTTTGAAATCGTATGTGTCAAGGTTGCCGTTGACTTACCTTCAGTTCGATTAGGTGCGATGGTAACGGTTAACCAGTGGTATGATGCGGTGCAGTGCATCCAATTGCTTGAGCTGAGCATGACTCAGGGCACTGTCTCGGGACGAGGACTTGTTTCCAGATGCATCGCGCTTCGATCCTAGTCGCCATCTGACAGCTGGTGGGCAGCTGAAGGATCATTTCGTCAACCATTTTGCCTTTGGTCATGGCAGGTAAATAACCCACACTTACTATCATTTTGAGTTGTTCACTGACTCATACAGGCGCATTTGTCCTGGTAAGCTAATGGTTCATCTGGCAATATTGGGAATTACATATACCCTTGACAGGTCGTTGGTTTGCGGAGAACGGTCTGTGGATAGCGGCTGCTGCCATACTCGCCGTCTTGCGCATCGATCATGCCAAAGACTCTAACGGAGACAGGATTGAGGTGAAACCGGAATTTACCACAGGCATGGTGATGTAAGTGACCTAGAATGTATGCTCGAAACCTGCGGCTAACTTTGAGTCTGAAGTCAACCGAAACCTTTTCGATGCTCGTTTGAAAGCGTGAATACAGCGAGGGAAGAGCAGCTTCGAGCGATGATGAATTTGAAGTAGACACTTGGTGGTGTGTTCTCGATATCTATTACGACATATGATTGAACAGTGCTTCGTCTCCGTAATCGAAAAATCGAAGTAGGCCCGTTCCGCCTTATGAAGCATGTCATTGAGCGAGTCGTCACAGAAGAGTGCAGGTCCTTCTTCGGATGATGCCTCACAATTAGATGTGTAGCAGAGCGATGCAACTGGCGAAGCATCCCCACGATCTTCAAGGATACATACCACAGTGGTAAGTGGTGGGAATATCTGAACACCCTGACTCCGTTATGAAATAATCGTGCATAATGAAACACGCCACATGAAGGCCTACTGGTATGCAGACAGCGGTCTGATTGCTATAAAATCATAGCTTCTGCATTAAGGTTTGTGACCTGGTATGTACGGCATGAGCATATGATTTCTCGACAGAGATTGCAGATAGCGAAACGACAAGGCTATGCTTGTCCCCGAGTGAAACAAAGGATGTATCGAAGACTCCAGATCGGTACCATACCTAGCACGGCATCTCATAGGTGAACAGCTTAGACCGTTTTGAGCGAATATAGTCCTTACAGATCTCCAGTCATAGATGGGTACATGAGTACTTGACAAATATTGCCTAGTATGATTCGGGTATTACGGCGTTGAACGTTGAAACGTTGACCTCTAACTTACTTTGTCGGACATCGAAAACCTCTTTATGAGGCGAACGAACAAACATGTCATGTTGTCGACTATAATCCCTCCCGATGTTCTTGAGTCATATTCTCGCTCTAGGAATCCCGTGTGTTATTGCCCTAGTTGCCGCTTTGCGTCTGACTCGCAGACGTATCTACCCTTTACCTCTGCCGCCTGGTCCCCGTCCCTTGCCATTTTTTGGCAACGCACTTGAATTGGACACCAAACAACCTTGGCTCACATATACTGCGTGGGGAAAGATATATGGTTGTTAGACCAATATTAATGTCGTCAGATACTGATTTAATACGTGATTATAGGAAAAATTATTCACTCCAACATCCTCGGCACCGACTACATCATCATAAACTCTGCAACGATCGCGCGAGAGTTGGTGGACAAGCGGTCTGCAATTTACTCGGATCGCCCTGTTATTCGCGCCAATGAATTGTATGTCTTGCCGGTTATCATTCAGACAGTTCTCAATTAACTGATGAGGCAGATCCGGCATGGATTTCAATACCGTGCTTCTTCCGTATGGCGAGACGTTGCGACGGCATCGTAAGATCTTCCATCAAGTCCTTAAGGCTGAAGCCTCGCTGTCATACTATGAGATGTACTCTCGCCATGCGAATGGACTAGTCATCACTCTTTTAGATTCCACCAATGACTTACGCGAACACATTCAAGCGTTCGTACCTAATTCAGTGGTATCATTGTGACCTCTGGTCCAGCTGACGGTCAAACAACTGTGACAGATACGCGGCATCCCTGATCACGGCCGTGACATACGGACACGCTGCCCAAGGAAATAATTACCCATTCCTTGCCCGCGTGAATGAATTGATTGAGATCGGTAAACAAATTCTTTCACCCGAGAGCGCTGCCATTTTCACAGCCTTTCCTTTTCGTGAGTACCTCAATGCTGTCTACGACGTCAATTTGAACCTTCAGCATGTCGGTTGCAGTCGAAAAGTTGCCAACTTGGTGCTTTGGTGGAGCCTTTGCATTAATGGGACGAACTAGAAAATTATCTCAGCAGCTTTTGAATGAGCCCTTCAACGAGGTGAAAGTACAGATGGTACGTTTGCGCATTGAGGACGGACGCTTTGCCTGATCTCCTTGTCTGTAGGCGAATGGTACTGCCCCACGTTCATTAGTTGCCGACTTCCTCAATCAAGCTGACGGCAACGCTGATGAAGACACGATGAAGGCTGTTGCGTTGATGGCATACATAGGTAAGGATTTGTTAGTAGGACAAAAATTATCACTTGATGCGGATTCTGCATCCTAGGCGGCATAGAGACGGCGAGTCATTACTTTGGGAGTCTTGATTGCTTTCCTCACCTTGATGTCCCGCAGATTACATCTGCATTGCAGACATTCCTGTTGGCCATGGTGCTCTATCCTGACGTCCAAGCCCGGGCTCGCGCAGAAATAGATCAAGTCGTGAGGCATAATAAAATGCCATGCCTTGATGATAGACCATCACTACCCTACCTTGGTGCCGTCCTCCATGAGGTCCTGAGATGGTATCCTCCCGCACCCCTAGGTCGGCCTGCAGTAATATCATTTTATATTTGCATACTGAACCCTTGCACAGGAATGGCATATGCGACATTAAGTGATGATGTTTATGGCGGGTACTTCATACCCGAAGGTTCGCACTCGTATGAGTCGAAATCACTGTTGACTCATCTGTAGCTCAATTAGGTGCGACAGTAATTGTGAATCAGTGGTATGCTACGATGCAGTGCACGCAATTGCTTGAGCTGAGCATGATTCAGGGCACTGTCTCGGGACGAAGACTTGTTTCCAGATGCATCGCGCTTCGATCCTAGTCGCCATCTGACAGCTGATGGGCAGCTGAAGGACCATTTCGTCAACCACACCGCCTTTGGTTTTGGCAGGTAAATACCTCACACTTGCTATCATTTTAAGTTGTTCACCGACTCGTGCAGGCGCATCTGTCCTGGTAGGTTGAATAATGGTTCATCTGACGATATTTGGAATGACATATGTCCTTGGCAGGTCGTTGGTTTGCAGAGAACATTCTGTGGACTGCTGCTGCTGCCGTGCTCGCCGTCTTGCGCGTCGATCATGCTAAAGACTCAAATGGAGATAGGATTGAGGTGAAGCCGGAATATACCACCGGTATGTCGATGTAAGTGACCTAGACTGTATGCAAGACGCCTACGGCTAAATTTGAGTCGGAAGTCATCCGAAACCTTTCCGGTGCTCTTTTGAAAGCGTGAATGCGGCGAGAGAAGGGCAACTTCGAGCGATGATGAATGTGAAGTAGAGTCGTTCGTCCTGGACGGTGTGTTCTCGACATCTATTTTACGACATATTGTCGAACAGTGTAGCATGACCTAAATGCCGAGACTTCGTAGTTTCCAGAATCTCAGAATCTGTCTCTCTTGATCTTGGAAATGTACGAGCATCCGGATGAGTCTTCTCCATCCGTGTTCATCGGGATAATTCGAGCTGTGTGCTAAATAATATATACTCATACTCGAGTATCCTAGTCAAACAAGTACTGGTGACAACCTGACGTTGACCTAATTATACGAGTGCTTCTAAGTATCCCTCGTGATCGATGGGGACATGTAGATATGCCATTGGCCACAGTTTTACAACGGGTCCGAAGTCAGCATAAGTAGTACAGAGGTTAGTTGCAAATTCCCTAGTCTTCAGCGTTGAACTTCAGACAGTTGATTCAAGCTTCATAAGTTTCAAATCGACCGTTAAGCTTCCTTGAAAGCCCCACCAAGGCCACTTATTTGAAAGATGTCAATAGGCATATTAATATATTCTACAGTTTAGCTTGTACAACAGTTTTTCCGGAACAAGTCTTGCGAGGGGCGCTGCATAGTTAGTGCTGATGATAAGTACTACGTAGTACACAGTCTTCCCAGCGGCGGCCCCAGCCATCTTATCCTTTGGCACCATCTTGATTCCTTCTCTTCCTCCCAGCACCCCAACCTGTCTTCCGCGTCCTGACGCGGCCTGTGGAATATCCTCATCCCCTTTCCACGCCACTGCCCACCATCAAATGAGCCCATACTGCTACACAACCGCCCAATTTTTCCGCGCTGCAAAGCGTAACCGATCTTTGCCGCAAGACTCAAATGTGTTTCCCTTGTTAAACTGCTACTCAAACGAATATCTAGACACACTGGAATGCGCCTCGCCCTGTCAATGGATGGCCAATGTTCAGAGGAAGAGAACGGGGTTAATTCTCAGGCTGGTCAAGTTTCAACCATCCTCTTCAGCGGCAGCTCAGCCGTCTTCTACCATCAGTGAACCTGTAAACAGATGAGATTGGTATTTAAAGCAATATATTGTTGAGCATCACAATAATCAGCGTAAAATCCATGGTAATTTAGATTCTTAGACATCCATTGCTATGTGCCGATAACTCAAATTTCTCGCAGTATACATAGCCATATCGAGCAAAGGCAGAATTATGTCCTCCTATAGTTCCCACGGCTACCATGTCAAAAACTTATCGGTTCTCTGATGACAGCGCAGCTGCGTTCGATACCGCATGGGGCACATCGCCTTCAGGCGCAGGCTGCAACTCAACGTTCAACCCTTCGCACACAATATTTCCCACAACACATCCGAAGAATGCAAACACACATCCGCAGGCTCGATAGTTTAATTATTGCTCCAGATGGTGATCCTCATATTCTCGATCTTCACTTTTGGCCTGAGTGCGGCGCACGTGGACGTCAGAATTCCTTTGATGGCGCGAACATCAGGGCCGATAGCGGACGTGGAGGAGAATCTACTGATACACTGCAATGACTGCATATCTATGCTAATTACGTGCGTGGTTCTATGTCTTTCGTTTTCAAACTTGCTTTTTTTGTCTCAAGGCACTAATTTTAGATGGTGTTTGCGCATTTCCTATGCTCATCGTGGTGGGTAAAATTTCAAAGAACACCTCTTAACTCCAACATTTTCTTCCATCTACATGGACCGTAAATCCATACCTCGCAACGTTTGCCTTGAATGGATGTCGAATCCCACGTATGTATCTAGCTAGAGATGTCGTTGACCCTCCAGGGCCAATATATGCACGAGGATTTCTTTGACATCAGGGCTGACACTCACGCACACAGCTCTCGACCTCCAAACGGACCCTTTCGCTCAAGGTGAACTGCACGCCACTTTATCAAGATGAAGAGTCGAAGAGACACACTCTTCATATTCACGCCATCAGACAGCGTTGTTTCTGCCATGTACTGAGCCATATTATCAATATCATACTCGCTAACTGTAATCAGGCTAGTACACGTAACCAAACCGTAACCTGATCAATTTTTTCCCAGACTTGAAGAGACGCTCTTCCCATCCACGTTATCAAACAGCATTGTTTCCCCATTACCGCATAAGTACCGTACTCGCTGACTGTTGTTCTAGTTATGCACGTAACACGGCCGTTACCTGAACAAGACTCATCAATGCAGTGCCTCTAAGATGCGTCTTCGACCTTGGCAGCCTGAGTGTGCTGTCAAGATTACGAAGTCAGGATGATACACTGATCAACGACTTCATAATGGCTAGGGTAACTGTGTAAACAACGACGGTAGGCTCCGCACTATCCACGCCTGCAGCCTGCAGGTCACCGCTAATGCGAAATGAAGCAGCATCCCTTTAGAATTTAACTCTCCATTCAAAATTTTTTGAACGATATAAATCGGATTTCGAATGGCTAAATGGACTCCGAAATGCCCATGTGGAGCTTCGCAGCGGCCGCTTTGCACAGTGCGCTGCGTCACTTCGAGACTGCTTGGCTTTTCACAAGATCTGACTTCAAGACAATAATTCTCCCAGTGGTATTCATTCCGGCAATAACTATTTTGGTGTGCGACGCTGAATTTGCTGTGGTAGATGACATTTGCAACCGTTGTCTCCCCTCGTCACAACCCGCTAGCCTTGTCTTGCTCTCTGTGTTGGCTCTGGTTACATCTCTTCCAAGCCAATGTCTCTAACCAAGCCTGCTCTATACATGAAGATAAAGTGAATAAACCATGGCGTCCTGTGCCGTCCGGGCGCATTAGTGTCGAAGAATCTCGTGCCTTACGCTGGGGACTCATGGTTTTCTGCTCGGGCCTTTCATCCCTTTTCAGTTTAAATGTGTTGATAACTAGTGCGATGTCCACTGTGGTTATGATGGTGTACGACGATTTTCGTCTCAGTCACCATCCATGTTTCAAAAATTTGTGCAACGCAGGATATTATGTGACGTTCGAACTCGGTCCTTCGTTAATTCTGTGTAGGCAATTCTGCGTCTGAGGGTAATATTTCGTTGACAGGAACAATATTTTAGCAGGGGAATCTTCACTTGACCGCACGAGCATACAAGCACTTTCCTGCAGCACTCTTGTCATACTTCTGACAATCCATGCACAGGATTTCGCGGACGTCAATGGTGATCGCAGGTCCGGACGACGCACTCTGCCGATTGTGGCACCCGAAGGATCTCGCATCTACATGCTTTGTGTACTTCCGCTACTTTCTTTTGCACTTGCCTCATTCTGGAGCCTGGGGCCTCTCTGCAGCGCTTTCTTTATTTCTGTGGGTTCTGGGGTCGGACTTCGCTACTTTCTCTTCCGCGACGAAATTCGTGACCAGGCAAACTACCGCCTGTATAATGTTTGTATCCTCTATTCATATTACCTTGTCTACGACCTAACGTTTGTCATTCCCTACAGATATGGCTCATGGGCGTCCATTTTTTGCCAGTTCATGTGCGTTGCCGCGCATTGACGTGGTAGTAGTACCTTGTTGCGTCGTGGCGATGTACTCAGGTCACTGGGTATGTCTGTACAATGCTGTGACAAATGTCATATTGACGGAGTATCAAAGCAGACAAAGCCACATGCATCTCAACTTCTCTTTCTTCTATGCCGTGGTTACTCCATTCAATCTAATGACTTGTACATCATTGATACCCTTAAGTGCTACGTCGCAAGACTAAGATATCTTCCAGTCGTAGTACCAGCCCTGTCTGCCGCGTGTTCAGCAATTGCGGGGTTGTGGGGATAGATGCAAGGGCATTGAGGTGTAGGATAGAGAAGTACTAGATAGTGTTTGATGAATAGTAGTGGTGAACGTCTACTTTGTTGTAGGGTATCTGTGGGGATCTCTGAGCAGTTTTCGTTTTGCAGTCTTGAAAGAAATACATACGGTTACAATATTTCTATGGTTCCGATTCCGTCCACCGTGCTGTGAACAGAAGCCGCGTCATGGACTTGTGCAACAATATGGTGGTCCGGCGCGATCCTCTCGTATCCTCCGCGCCGCAAAATTGCGTAGAGCGGCTGTCCGAGGCGAACAATCAATCGCGACGCTCGTGCGTGAGATTCTGAATCGGCTAGCTCCTGTTCTACAGGAAAACAGCCGGGCAACTCGTCTAACAAAGACCTGGGCACAGACCAAAAATCATCCTCGCTCTGTAGATCATCTTCAGAGGAGTTCCGCAAAGTCAGGTAACTCGAGAAGGCGGCGATCCCATGGACAGACAAGTAAACATCTCTGCAGAGAGAGCCTTGCCGGCGTGAACTGAATTAGTGCATCTTTTGTGGTGATCAGCAGGTCGTGAAGCCCGTCGACCTTGACCCCATACGTAGGATGAGTCTCTTGGGCTGGGACCACTGTTCCGTCTGACTTCTGTGACACGGAATGCGATGCAGGCAAATGCAGTCTGCAGCTCGCGAAGCGAGGAGCACTCGTATTGTCAAGCTGATCATAAAGTTTCAAAACTCAATCCACAGCCACCGTATTTTGCAGCGAAAGAGACTGTTGATTGAAGTTCATATTCAGACAATGATGGCGGGGCGCGTGGCGGAGCTGCATATGAGGGAATGTCAACTGGAAGACAATTATTGAACTCCGAGGATTGTCCGACCCAGTCGAGGGCAGTAATGTCGCCCGACCGAGCTATCTCCTGCAAGAGCAGCTCAAGCGTGTGTTGCTTCTACAGTCAGCTGGACATCGAAGATGCCAAATAATGAGTATCCGACATCTTCTTGCAATGTAGTGACACGTGTCGACGCCTATTGAAGCTCCCTCGGACGCCGCCCATCCCTGGACGGAAGGCAACGAGAGCCTGGCGGTCGATGCCATGGTCGTCGAGATATAAGCTCCAATACTTCCGATAGAAGAGCACAACTTTCGAAGCCGCGAAATATTGAAAGGTCCATCCTCGTCTGGTCTACTCATTCTTCGCCAGTGCGCCAGGCTTGGAGGATGAAGGCAGAGCATCCGAAAGGTAGACAATTGTAAGCACTGAGTACCGAGTGACGATACCATACGAACACGGAGTTGGGCAATTCTTGCAGTTGCTCTTGTCGATGCAACATGTACCGCTCTACGCCCAGCGATACCCCGCATCGCGAGCAATTTCGCAGAACGTCCGCAACTTTCAAACGAATTCAGCTAATACACGATCTTGTCCTAGATATCCTGCAGCAGTGGCTCCTTCCCTTCTTATACAGTAGAAATGCTCATAATGCATAATGCATAATAATTCATGACAAATTAGAACACAATAACTTTTAGCACAAAAAGCGATCCATGGATAGCGATGGGCCTGGTCCATTTATTGTTGGTAATGGATAGTTTGGTGGTGCCGAGAATGGTTTTCTAGGGATTTGTTTTGATTTTTTAAAATTATGCATTATGAGCCTTTCTACTGTATATGTGTTAACATGACGCAACGGAAGAATATCGCCACTACTTCTATGATGCGCTCCGTTCGGAGGTTTAGAAGTTTCATGGTTGGTAACAGAGGGTCCTTGTGCTCTGCGCTCGTTTTGAACGCGCTCATCTGCGCTTCTCGATTACATAAAAGCCCGGTAGTGGTGTTGAGTAGACGAAGCGGGCAGTGTCAAGTTGAACATCGATGGCCTTTCGTAAGACACCTTCTGCTTCGGAAACACTGACACTGCTCGCGCAGTTTTGAGGAAAGAGTTAAAATCTTGACACATATGTTACTTACGGGTCACTTCGTATTTGAATGTCATGAGCACCGTCCAGTTTGACGAGCATCATTTCGAAGGCTGTGATGGCTTCATCATAGCGTTGTGCGCCGTGAAGCGCTGCATGCTTCACTTGGTATGCAACACGAGACGAAGCGTTGAGTTCAATGGCCTATGCGTCGCCGAAGTGAACATTGGCAGCGCTACGAAACGGTAAACCTTTTGCACGTCAAGAAGCACATTCTCCCATAGCATTTTCGCTGACTTGGCTTTACTACGATTTGCAAAAATGGTGTCACTTGCAAAATTCAAGTCGATTACCATAGAGTATACGTCAATAACCCTGCCGTAGTCATTTGCAGACTGTTGCAGTGACTCATGGCAGCATCTCCGTTAGCAAAACATACTGCATTCTTGCGTGAAAGCTGGGTGAAATGAGTGTAAGGAATATTGTAGCTTGTCATTACTGAAAACTTGCCAGTAGATCAATCAAGGCAGCTCGCCTTCGATAGTTTCGTCACTCATATTTATCATGTATCGGTATGATTGGAGTAAGTAGTCTCGTTTAAAGACCGCGTCATAAGGATCGCCAGTGCCACAGTATGGTAAGTCGGGGTTTGAAATACCCGAGTCTATGATTTGAGGGCTTTCGCCAAGTCTCCCTGCCCGAAGGAGGGTATGACATCCGTTTGATCAAACATGACTGGAGCGGGCTTTGATGGCGCAGGTGAGGGATTCACCAGTCTACGGTTACGGTGCTTGGAATAAACTGCGGCGTTTCACTGGAGGTTCGTGGTTGGAGTGGACTTGAGTGGAGAGATTGCGGGTGTCTTTAATCTTGCTAACTCCTTGCGCCTCTGCAGGGGAATTTGGACTCAACCCGCCGAAGGCGGGGTTTGAAAACATATCTATAGCTAGAGTTAGGGTGTTAGAGGCTTAGAGCTCGTTAGGAAGTCAGGTTAGATTAGGTTGGCTGAGAGTCAGGACTTGGGATATATTCTGGCTCATTTCTTTTTACATAGGTTAGGTGTTTAGATCTTGGTTGGTTAGTGTGTGGTTAGTTAGGATCTTGGTTAGTGTGTGGTTGGTTTGAAACCCCGCTTTCAGCGGGGTCGGTTGAACCTCCGCTCTGCAGGTGAGTCCAACTTGTTATCTCCACAGCTTCCAAATGTACTATCGGTTACGGTCGATTCGTGACGAGCCTCCATTTCGTGAGTCACACTTTTGGGCATGGAAACGTGGTGGCTTGTCACATGGTGTAACGGTATGTCACGAAATTCACCGCGAAAAAGCGTGACTCACGAAATGACGGTCCATCACGAATAGATCGTAAGGGATAGTATCTTTCGCATTTATGTAATTGTGATAGTCGGTACTTCCCGGCTCTTGTTGTCAGTGCCTAAAATAGATCAGTGTGTCAGCCCAGTGATATGCGTGTTGGGTCACCGCGCTTGCTTTTGACAGGTGGTCCATAACTATTCTCCAGTGGCACGAGGGGCACGCATGATGATAGCCCGTGAAATTAGAGCGCTGGATTCTACTCGTACCTGTTGGTAAGCAACCTTGTTGGATGTCGGTCGAACGTCATACTGATCATATAAATCTGCCCACGATATTAGCTAGCAGAGCGAGGATTCTGGTCTTATACGAGTTCTCGTGTCGACGCTTTTTACGTGAGGATCTTTATCTGCCGTGTTTCGTTATGTACGACCAGTTCGTAACGGCGTCGGGGTGTTCAGACATGCCCACTACTACTTACCACTAGTGGTATCCCCAAAGATCATGGCTACGGCATATAAGGTCTCACAAGTCGATGCCATAATTTAAAGTTACTTGATTGTGGTCGGATCGCCAAAATCATAACTTCTGCATTATAGCTTGGCACGAAGCTACGAGTAGATAAGCACTCTGAAACAAAGCGTCAAGCATTGTCTCAAAGGCTTCAGATGGTAAGTATTAACGTACAATTTGAAAAGTACTAGTCTCACAGGTGGACAAGTTGAACTTACCATCTTGAGCGAATAAAGTCCACGTATAAGGCGAAGAAAATGTCCTAGTTTCGACTATAATCCCTCATGCTCTCCACTCATATTCTTGCTGTAGGAATCCCGTGTATTATTGCCCTGGTTGCTGCTTTGCGTCTGACTCGCAGACGTGTCTACCCTTTACCTCTGCCGCCTGGCCCTCGTCCCTTGCCATTTTTGGGTAATGCACTCCAATTAGATTCGGAACGACCTTGGCTCACATATACTGCATGGGGAAAGACATATGGTTGGTAGACTAATGATTTCTTCGTCAAATGTTTGGATTTAATTTTATACCTGATTATAGGAAAGATTATTCACTCCCGCGTCCTTGGGATTGACTTTATCACCATAAACTCCGAAACGATCGCGCGAGAGTTGTTGGACAAGCGTTCTGCAATTTACTCGGATCGCCCTGTTATTCGAACCAATGAATTGTATGTCCTGGTTATCACTCAGCCAGTTCTTGATCAGCTGACGAGGCAGATCTGGACTGTATTTCAATACCCTGCTCCTTCCGTATGGCGAGGCTTTGCGACGACAACGCAAGATCTTCCATCAAGTCTTCAGGGCCGAAGTCTCTATCCTATACCACGACATATGCTCTCGCTACGCGAATGAACTAGTCATCAATCTTTTGAATGCCACGAGTGACTTGCAGGAAGAAACCCAAGCGTTCGTACATGTCATTGTGACGTCTCGCCCAGCCGAATATCAAACAACTGTGACAGATACACGGCATCCCTGATCATGGCCGTGACATACGGGCGCGATACTCGCGGAAATGGAGACTCGTTACTTGCCCGCGCAAATGAACTCCTTGATATTGGCCGACATGTTATTTCTCCCGAGAAGGCTGCCATATTCACGGCTTTTCCTTTCCGTGAGTCCCTCAATGCCTTCGACGCCGTCAATTTGAGCGATTCAGCATGTCGATTGCAGTCGAAAAGTTGCCAGTCTGGTGCTTTAGTGGGGCCTTTGCCCTGATGGAACGCAGTAGAGAATTAGCTCAACAACTTTTGAACGAGCCTTTTAACGAGGTGAAGGCACAGATGGTACATTTGCGCATTGTGTATGAATATTTCGCCTGATCTGCTTGCCTGTAGGCAAATGGTACTGCCTCACATTCAGTAGTCGCTGACTTCCTCAGTCAAGCTGATGGCAACGCTGACGAAGAGACAATGAAGGAGATTGCGTTGATGGCATACATGGGTAAGGGGTCTTTAGGAGGACAGAAATCATTATTTGACGCGGATACGGCATCTTAGGTGGCATAGACACTGTGAGCTATCACTGTGGGAGATCGCTTCCTCCCTCACCTTCATATCCCGCAGACTACGTCCGCATTGCGGACATTCCTGTTGGCTATGTTGCTCTATCCTGATGTCCAAGCCCGGGCTCGCGCAGAAATAAATCAAGTCGTGGGGCACGATAAAATGCCATGCCTTGATGATAGACCATCACTACCCTACCTTAGTGCCATCCTCCGCGAGGTTCTCAGATGGTATCCTCCTGCACCCCTAGGGTCGGTCTGCAGCAATATAACTTTGTGTTTGCGGGCTGACCCCTTACACAGGAATGGTACATGCGACATCAAATGATGATATTTACGACGGGTACTTTATACCCAAAGGTTCGAAGTCGTATGAGTCGAGGTTGCCGTTGACTTATCTGCAGTTTAATTAGGTGCTGTAATAGTGGGTAATCAGTGGTACGCTGCGATGCGATGCATCTATTTTCTTGAGCTGAGCATGACTCAGGGCAATGTCTCGAGACGAAGACACGTATCCAGATGCATCGCGCTTCGATCCTAGTCGTCATCTAACAGTTGATGGACAGCTGACGGATCCTTTCGCCAACCTTTTTGTCTTTGGTCATGGCAGGTGAATACCTCACACTTGCTGTCATTTTAAGTTGTTTACTAACTCGTGCAGGCGCGTTTGTCCCGGTAGGCTGATTAAGTGGTTCATCTGGCGATATTGGGAATGACATATAGTCCTTGGCAGGTCGTTGGTTTGCAGAGAACACTCTGTGGACTGCTGCTGCTGCCGTACTCGCCGTATTGCACGTCGATCATGCTAAAGACTCAAATGGAGACAGGATTGAGGTGAAGCCGGAATATACCACCGGTAGGGCGATGTAAGTGACCTAGACTGTATGCAAGACACCCATGACTAAATTTGAGTTGGAAGTCACCCGAAACCCTTCCGGTGCTCTTTTGAAAGCGTGAATGCAGCGAGAGAAGGGCAACTTCGAACGATGATGAATTTGAAGTAGACTGTCCTGTGTACTTGGTGGTGGTATTACTATGTACATAGGAACATGATTTCTCTACCGCATTGCGCAAGCATGGGCATCGCTAGTAGTTTGAGGCTGCGCCAGCTGTTGATAGACGCCTTCAGAAGCTTCAGGCCCATGGATTTAATATTAGAGTGTGCGGCTACAAAGACTGCGCTGTCCTGTTCACCCCATAATCGGCCAACGATAATCCATGCACTTACAATTTCGTGCTATGTTGTGTAAGTATGTAGATTGAGATCATGTAGCCATGCAAGCAAGTCGGCTTATACAATACAACTGTACATGCGGTGGAAAGGAAAGTACCATTAAATTAGGTATCAGAGCTAGTAGTGACCCCGAACAATCCCAAGTTGAACTTACCACCTCGGAAATAAGATCCTCAAACGTCGGATCCAGCTCTTCAAACACTGGAACAGGTAGTATAGCGGAATGAATGCCGCCAAATAAACCATGAGCATCCAAATCAGAAACACAACGGGGAAGGTGGTAGGGCTAGTGGTACGAAAAATCAAAGTAGACAATGCCGCAGCAAAGTATATCATTCTGTCCAAAAATGAGCCACTATCCCAAAGTGTTCAGCCAGAAACACACCCCCAAGTTAGCAATGAAAACGGCAGACTGAGCATGATCGCGTTCACCGGCGAAGTTCCCGATATGAATGAGGTCTGGTGGGCGTAAAAGATAAAAGTCAAACAACTGAAAAGGAAACTTACTGGACATTTATCCGAGTCGGGGTATCGCCAATCAAAAGTCAATTGTTTAGCAAAGACTAGTGTGGAAGCCAACGAGCCCATGGCACAGAGGGTAGACATATATGTTAAAATGATTACAACCGTTTGAGTTTGGACGGATGAGACCGAGAGAAAGCTGATATCGACAGCAACCATCACAGTAGACTGGCCTGGACATCGATCGCATTGACAATATAAAGCAAAATTACAACTCACGAATATTGAATATATATTCCATTCACTCTTGAGCCTGTCGACAAGATTTCTAGCCTGCCCCGTTAGTAACACTTTATCGACAGTTATCCTCTGAAAATTGCGGCTATAGATCCGAGGGGATCCAAACATAAGAACATTGATGGCTCGAAAAAACATCGAGCACGTGTTGGAATATCCGTATAAAAATTGGTATGCGTGAAGCCGGGCACCTGGTTGTCCACAAAAACATAGGAATCTGGCCAAGCCTAGCCAAGTAATCAGTAAACAGGGTGTGCTCACTACTAACGTGAGCTCACAGATTCGACTCATGCATCGAGCTGGAATCAGGGAACATGTCAGAAGCAATCAACTGACCTTTCGCACTTAAACCCACCAACGATATGAACGGAGTGCTCATGCTCCCTGTTGATGCTACCTGAAAAAGACGATCAATAACGTTACCCCAAGAACAGGGAACGATTCACTCGTGAGCGGATCCATCAGGCCGAGTATTCTTTCAACCTGGTCCGAAGCAAAATTTGCTTGGGATGTTCCAACAACGATATTTTCTATCACGAGTCATTTTGGTACTGCGTGAAGTCTCTTACTAGTCTTTACTCACCTGCCTGAGCATGCACGACGATTTCTTTGAGTAGCATGACAACATTTTCCGGAAGAGAGCGTTTATTTGGAAACAGTTCAACATGTCTCCTGCCAATATCATGATGCGTAAACCATGGGAGGTAGCAAAGGGCTGTGATAAAGTTGTCAGCCCATTTACTTCGGGGAAGTGTAACATGTGTACTTAGGCTGTACGAACCAGTACTGTGATTCCACTGCATACCCTGGGAGCAACGCGATAAGAGAAGTTCGAATGATAGGTATTCCACGAAAGAACTTACTAATGTGGCTCTTGCGCTCTACGCCACGAACACGGCACATAAGGTCATCAGATTTGTGGGCTTCGAACCAGAAAATGACACGTCTATCATGATCAACAAAGTAGTAGCCGATCTGTATGTGGCCATTCTTCTTCGTGATCTCCAACGCTAGCTCGATGGACGGTTGTAAGATAACGTCTGCATTCCATGCTTCTTGGTACACCTTCTCAGCAGCCTTGCCCATTCTGACTGCAGTGGCAGGGTCTCGAACATTGGCATCAGTGAAAACTCTCTAGAGGGCGATATGAGTAAAGCCATGCGGGAGGGAGATAGACGCACTTGATATGGGTGATAGAAGAACAAAGCCCCGTTCGGGTGTGTGAGAGGCTCCCATCCCGCTACCGGAGCAAGCTCCCTATGATGCCATTTCAATTTCGTCGCTGGCTCTCCTAATAAAATGCTTACTCTGAACAAGCCAAAGGACCTTTCTCAATTTCAAATACTTTATACTCGGGCTCATCTTTGCTGAGGGTATGAATCGTCACGGAAATGCACCCCAGAGATGATTTGCGTACATCTTTACATTCCACAGGATGTCGAATCGTCTGATCTCAAATGGTATAATGGGGGTTAGAGTGATATCAAGGGACTGTCCTGACACCGGAGGCTGCAGTAGTGTAATGTTGATGCTGGACTCGACCGGAGACTGTGGTGACGTAATGTAGATGCTGGGCTCGGGTATAGAGCTTAGTGGCACTGCGAGAGTCACAGAAGCCGGTAACCTGTCTTGTTCGGCTGGCTGAGAGCTCAACGCTAAGATACCCTCTCGACAAGCTCTCTCCTGTCCACTCCCGGCGAGTTGACAGCATCGGATCAGTCGTAGGAGGACAGAGGAGAGACTTGTGTATAAGCGAGATGCAGTCGTCTTGAGGATGAGCCTTAACCAGGATATGAACGCCCGGAGGTATTCTCTAGGTATAATCATCGGGGTAATTGTCTGCTGGTGAGTGAGAAGGTAGTAGAACGAAAATTAATCTTGCAGGTCGAGTTAACATTGATGTGGGATTCCCAGGATGAACGACCCTTCAGGTCTGAGGAGGTCAGCAAGCTGTACTAACGTTAGGGTATGGGTCGACAAGGCCTCGTCGGTCCACCAGGTCCACCCCTCCTAAGCAGAAAAAATATAAGTCTCCCGAGCATGACGGAGGACAGAAATCATAGCAGACACCATGAACTCCAGGTAGGTGCGGGGTAGATTGAACAGCATTAAACGCTGCAACTCACAAGCGCATGTTTACGGCATCTGCTAGCTCATTTCGAGCATGACTGACTTAGCCTAAACACAGTGATTGGGCCAGTCAACTTTGGTTAGCTCCGCTATCGAGAGACGGAACATGACTATCACCATCTGCCTAGTTGCTGTTAGCTCGATTCCCCACGTGCGTCAAGCTTTTTGATGGGATCATCGCGCAGATATCATTAGGGTATAGATATAAATCTAATCATCCAAGGGTGGCATCTGATCCACGGTCGCATCTAATTCTCCGTTTGCAATTCTCTTAAACTTTTGATATGCAGCATCAAGATCATCATTGACGATGACGTAATCGACGGAGCCGGGTTGTCTAGCATAGTCGATCTCTCTGCGTGCGATTGCAAGGCGACGCTGGATGGCATCTTCCGAATCAGTGGCGCGGCCTCGCAACCGCTGACTGAGAGCGGTCATAGAGGGGGGAGATACGAAAACGACGATGGCGTGGAGAGGAGTTTGTTTGATTTGTTGAACGCCCTGAGGTACGGTAAGATGGTGTTAGGAAAAGATAGGAAGGAGATGTACCTGTACTTCGATATCGAGGATGCATCGTTTACCTGTTGCTGTAACATCTTGTACAGCTTGAGCGCTTGTGCCATAGAAATTTCCTGAAAACTGTGCGTGCTCGATGAAAGCGCCCTGAGAGATTAGGAATTTGAAGTTGTCGGTGTTTGTAAAGTGATAATGTTTTCCGTCTATTTCACCAGGGCGAGGAGTACGGGTTGTATCTTGGGAACGAATCAGGGGGTGTGAGAGGGTCGAGAATGAAAGCCTCCATACGAGAGACACTAAAACCAAAAGCGTTTGGAAACTCTTTGAGTAGACGATTTATGAGAGTGCCTTTGCCGACGCCTGAAGGACCGAATATGACTAGAGGAGGAATTGGCATGGCGAGAGAACAAGTACAAGTACTGACAGGCGTGTGACTAATGTGAATCTAAAAAGTTTGTCACATATTTTGTGTGACAAGTAATATCTGTTTGAGACGACCACGAACGCCAGCGTACACGAGACAATAACACCATTCAGACCCTCCCTCTACTTTCAATTATTACTTAAATTCTCCTATTAATTCACTCATCCTCATGGGTGCACTTTGTTGTCGCCCTCAGGTATATCTTTCTTACTTCATTCTTCAGTGAACTAACTAACTCCTTCCCCTTAGCCTGTTGACTTTGAAGGCGACGTCAACCTCTTTCACTTTGTTCTTTTGAGATGCGTCGGAAAGGGCGCCTTTGGAAAGGTCTTTACATCTCACATCATCATCTTTTCAACTCTCAACTTCCCCTTCTCAAGGTCCGAATGGTCCAGCACAAGCAGACCCGCGATTTGTATGCTCTGAAATATATAAACAAGACAAAGTGTGTAAAGATGAAAGCAGTCGCAAATATCATACAGGAACGACGCCTACTCGAAGAGGTCGGTCTCACTTCCCCATCACCCTTCGTGAATCCCCCACTTATATTCCATACGTTAGATCGACCATCCCTTTGTCGTTAACCTCCGTTATGCATTCCAGGACGATGAGAATTGCTTCTTCGTCATTGATCTCATGCTCGGCGGTGATCTACGATGTACGTTTATTGTCTTTGTTTTCTGTCCCCACTTAACCCGTTTCAGTCCACCTCGAACGGTTAGGCTCCTTACCAGAAGACACTGTACGTTTTTACGTAGCAGAAATAGCTTCAGCCCTAGCTTTCCTTCACGAGCACAAAATCATGCACCGGTATGTCAATTCCCTATCCCGGTCATCTCGGTCTTCATAATTACCTCACCAGTGATCTCAAACCTGATAACATCCTCCTCGACGAACGCGGCCACGCCCATCTCACAGATTTCAACATTGCAGTCCACTTTAACGAACGTCGCATGCTCACAGGCGTCGCAGGTAGCATGGCTTACATGGCTCCAGAAATACTCACCAAACGTGGTTATACATACCCAATCGACTGGTGGAGCCTCGGCGTATGCGCATACGAAGCTTCTCTTCGGCAGACGTCCCTTCCGTGGAAAGACGAACGGTGACTTGACTCAGAGTATCAGTAAAGACAGTTTACGCTTCCCTGATGATGCCGATAAGAAGTGCTCCTAGAGCGGGTATGATGGCCGTGAAGGGGGTGAGTAGGCCATGTCCCTCACCGTCTTGTGCTGATAGCCGTGCAGTTCTTGGATCGCGACCCTTCCAAGAGACTGACGTGCAAGCAAAACAGTGGTTTTGATGAGATGCAACGACACCCCTGGTTCCATCCCATAGATTGGACAGCACTTGAAGCCAAGGAATTGCCTCCACCCTTCACACCCGACGTGAGTCCTCCCTAGCTCACAACTACTCACTCTAAGCTCCTGCACAGTCAAAGAAGGCAAACTTTGACGCATCACACGAATTGGAGGAACTTTTACTCGAAGACAATCCACTGAAGGCTAAAGCACGAAAGACGCGAGATGTCAGCACCCTCAGCGCTGAAATGAGACAGATGGAAGAGCAGTACGTCTCTTCACCTCATCCCATCATCTTAATTTAATCTCTTCTCACTCTAATCCGAAATAGATTCGCATCATACGATTTCAAGAAGATGCTCCGGCGATCATACTACCCCCAGAACCAACAGATCGTATCAACTATCACCGCAACATCCTCCACAGGCGGACTCGTAGCAAGTCGCCCCGTAACACCCGCTACAGACTCGCGCATCGAGGGCATCGTACATGAGCATGACGAGAGCCTGTTCGATGGCGATGATGTTCGGTTGGAGAAGATGCCTAGGGTGTTGGAGAAGACCTACTCGTGATCCGCCCTCACTTCTCCATCCTCACTAGTGCTAGGACTGGTGATGGTGCTAGTGCCAGACGACCTGACGACCGCTGACGATGTATCTGATTGCAATATCCATATTCCCCCATGTATCTTGCCTTAAGCTTATGTACATACGGCACCTTCTTGCCCCTTGCACTCGTTTCGAATTTTGGGACATACCTAATATTGGTTGCTCACCCTCAGCCCACTTTCCCTACCATCATCATCATCATCATCATCATCATCACCATCTCACCAACCCACAAGTGTTTGCTCAGCGTTCACTGGATACCTCGTACCTCGCTTTGTCCACATGTTCGTGTTCTGTTCCTGGCTCCGGCCGATACCGTGGATCTGTTTTAGTTTTAAGATTTTTTTTGTAACTAGTTATTGTTGGATTTGGATTTTTTCTTTGGCGTAGGGTTTTGTCCTCGTTGGTTTTTGAAGGGGGATCGAGATTTTTTCCTTCCTTTCTTCCTTTCTTTACCTTTAAATTTTTCTTCTTTCATTTATGGTTACATGCATAGCCCTAGTTTGCTTTACTGGCTAGGAATGGTTGGATCACAGTTTTACTATACGACGCGTACAAGGACAAGCTTGGTTTGCTGTGCTATAGTATCAACCCATTAATCCGAATCTGTTACTTAGGGTGACTGTGTGGGAGCTTTGTAACAACTCAGCAGTCAGGCCGTCAGGCACTCGAACATGTGTTATCCTTGACAGTGACATTCACACTTCCCGATAACCGGTAAGGATGTAGCGGCGCTTACGCACCAAGCCCCCGGGCCCGACTCTGATTGGTATAACGTTACTTTGTAACAAAAGTTATTCAAGTCACTGATGCGTACATCATATCAATTTTTAGACTGACCCACGGGGACTCGGGAGCATATCGGTTTGGCCGAGAAACGAGGCCAGCCCCCCGCGGAAATGGTAGCTGAGGAAAGACAAACATGGTTGTATATGTACATTAAGTATACCGCCTCTCTTCATCTCGAGAAGCACGCTGAGCGCTGAGCAGATACACCCCGAAGGTGCACAGAGGTTTTCGGTGATGGGAATTTATTCAAGCCTTGCCCTCCTCTACTAACGTACGAGTCGGAGTTTTTGTACCATCGGATGGCACAGGCACTCCGGAGCTAAAGCAAGAAAAACGTAAAACGTAAAACATAAAACATAAAACATAAAACATGTGCCACAGCACTCGGAGCCACCATTTGCGGAGTGCAACTCGGAGGGACCTGGCGTTCGCGGAGTCTTGAGAAAAGTAGAGAAAGTTCGCTTTTTGTGTTCGACAAAGCCCTCCTCTACTAACATAGGAGTCGGGGGACCTAGTAGCGGGGCAGGGCTCATCTCCCCCGAACCTCTTCTGCCTTTACAGGATGGATTTCGCAGAAGACCTCCAGGGCTGGTCCATAAGTTGTGGGATAAGTTGACCAACCGTTTCGCTGGAAACGCTCGACAGTCTCCGAACCCTTGGACCCACGGCTCCAAGTTCTGGCGAATGGGATCTCCTATCTTCTCAGATAGGCAAATTATGTGCAATTCTTGGCATGGTCCATGTATTATTTAATTGTTGTAGGATCCTTCGCCACCCACCGCTCCCACTCCCAGGACCCGGACCCTGACCCGTCTGCCAATTCAGACATCGCAAAGGTAAGTCCGATTATTGGGTGACTTTTCGTAAGGTTTTACAGACAAATTTCTGTGTCCGTAAATTAGCCGACGTCGAGCGGTCAAACTTTTACAGACAAGCTTGTTTCTGTAAATTCTTACGGGAAGTCACCCATTATGGTTCGCAACGTTCCTATCTCTTTTTATAATGTACTAAGTTCCGTCATCAGGCCGAACAACTTGACCCGACGTCTGTGAATGAAAGAATTGCCGATGCCACCAAACGGATAGCGGGCATCAAAAATATCTCAGGAATATTTGGTCCAAAATACTACCTTGTCAACCAACAACCTCCAGTCCGTTTCTGGTACCATCGATACCTTGTCCGCGATTCTTGGACCATTGAAGGTGTTCAACACCGTAGCTAACGGGCTTGCAGATGTACAAGCCTCTATTCTATTTCTACATATTTTGTACTTGACTGACTTTCGTGCGTAGGTCCATCCCTATGTGAAGGTGGCATTGAGCATACTCACCTGCGCATCTAAGGTGCGCGCGTTTTCCATACCCTCACACTTCGCAGGTTATTAAGAATGTAACAGATGGTTCTCGGTCAGGCAAGGCATTATGCATCAAGTTTCCCCCTCCAAGTGCACACTTCCTATATTCAGTCTCTCGCAATCTCGCCTGATGGCAAACACATTGTGTCGGGTTCAGCTGACAAGACAATCCGTGTGTCGGATGCGGAGACTGGCAAGGTAGTGCGCGCCCCTCGAAGGGCATACTGATTGGGTTCAGTCTGTCGCAATCTCGCCGGATGCAAAATGCGTCGTGTCTGGTTCAGATGACAAGACGATTCGGGTATGGGATCTGGGGACTAGCAAGAAATTGCGCACTCTCCGAGGACACACTGACTGTGTTCAGTCTGTTGCAATCTCGCCAGATAGTACACTCGTTGTGTCTGGTTCATCTGACAAGATGATCCGGGTGTGGGATATAAAGACCGGCAAGCCATTAGGTGACCCTCTTGGAGGGCACACTAGCAATGTTCTGTCTGTCGCAATGGCAAATACATCGTGTCTGGTTCAGACGACAGGACTATCCGGGTGTGGGACCTAGATTTTCTCGACCGGCACCACCCCTTCACAGAACCTTCAGTATATCTCTCACCATCCCGGCACATGCTCTTCATTCCGCCTCCTCCTTTCTCCAGGATTCTTCTACCGCAATCTCTCTTGCCCCAAACGAGGAGGGATGGTTTGTAGGTTCAGACGGATGGCTTCTTCTGTGGATCCCACTCAATTTCTACCCAGTGATGTATGCCCCAGGCAACACGCTGGTGATAGCCAATCGTGCCTCGCAGTTCGATTTAAGTTGTCTTGCACACGGTACATCATAGCACAAGTGTCGGGAACCGCAGGCTAGCTTGTCTTCATCATAATTTCTTCATGGGTTGCGCTTTTGATACATACACTAACAAATGTACACTACAACAGATCTACGCATCCTGTTCGCCATTTCTCAATCTACAGCCTTTACTTGTACTTCTTCTGCTCTATTCTACTGCAGCGAGTGTATATTTGCTACTTGCATTGCATGATCTTTACTATAATCTAACTGCACGCCCCGAGGCTACTATAGCTGCGGTCCACAAGTGATGACACACTTAGACAAACAACGCTATCTGCCACGCACCTCACATCTCGCAGTACACAATAGTGTTCCTACCTCCCAAGCCTCATGCGCTTCCTGACAGGCGTATCTGAAGCCGATACCTCGGATGTGACTGACGGGAGGCGTTTCTTGCCCCCCACGGTCCACCCGTTCTTGTCAAGCAGCAGCACATCGGGTGAAGACTTTGGCAGCCATATCTCCTCGTCCTCCTCCACATCACCATCTTCGTCCCTCGCATTGCCCAGGGCATCAGGGGAGTGGTGCACAGACATGGGAGGAAGCTCGTCATCATCAATATCGAGTGGTGTAAGGCTCGAGCTGCGAGCCGTCGGAGGGCTCGAAGATCTCCCAGTGAGATATGGACTTGAACTCCTCCCTGGAGTATGTACGCTCGAACTTCTCCCAGCGGGGTGCGGACTTGAGCTCCGAGCTGATGTATTTGATTTGGCGCGGGGAGGGGGCTTCTTTACGGGCGTTGCGGCTACAAGGGTGATTGCTGGCGCTGCACGAGATTGGGAGGACTGGGACTGGGAATCTGTGCGCTTAGCAATTACAGTAGGCGCCTTTGTGTCTTTCTGCGAAACCGTAGTCGTCGACCGATCTTTCCCCTTCCATGCACGGGACATACTGATTTGCCGAGTGAGCGCACGTTGGAGTGTTTTGTCCTGCGTCGCGCCTACGCTTGCTGCGCGTTCCTTTTCTTTTTCCTGGGCGAGGGACACAGAGAGGGAGCGATTGCGCGTGGGGGCGTTTGTCGTTGCTGTACTTTGCAGTTTCGTGGCGGTAGTAGACGATGAACGGTTGGGGCGAGAACCGGGGAGGGATTTCTCTGTGGAGGGTCCGGGTGAGGGGAGGTCATCTGAGAAAGGAGAGTTTGGGAAGAGTTTAGAGCGGAGAAGGGCGCATTGCTCTGGGAGCTTTGATTTGAACCTTGAACGATTAGCCCTGTTATGATTAATACACGTGAGGTCAAACTTACAGAGGTTCCACTATGTCTTCGCAGAACTTTTGCATCCAGTCACGTTCGTTCTTGTTGTGAGTTCCATGCGCAGTTTCGGTGCGAGATGTATCCATGAGGGATACGAGCTGCCACATGGAGAGTTTGTCCATGAAGGACTCGAGACGCTCGACGGGGGAAGGGGTGATCAATTTGGGTTTCTCTTTCTTCCTCTTCCGCGAGTGAGTTGGTTTGACGGGTGAGATGAAGGAAAAGTTATCGGTGGGTGGCACTTCGACAGGCGGTAACGGGGTGCACGGCCCAGGAAGAGAGAGTTTAAGGAAATATAGCAGAATCTGGATCTGGACTCTACAAAAGGGCGTTATAATTTGCGCAGAAGCAAAGTGACGAGCACTTACTCACGGTGTTCCATACGTTCGAGCCAGCCAGATCTCCATTTATCTTCTAGCATCATCGTGTCTTCTCGGTTGAGGTGTTCGTTGCGCTCCGCGCTGGCATCCGTCTTTTCGTACCCCAGAGCGTACCACATCATACTTTCCTCTGCTTCACCTGCGCCGCCGCCGTCAGCAAGGATCTGGGGGAGCTCGTTGTGGTATTTGTTGGCGGCCGCGCGAAGGGAAAAGAGGAGGGGCTCGATAAAGGCGTGAAGAGGATGTGGCTGGTCTTCTGTAGTGTCCGGAGCTGCTCGAATGCGGAGAAGAGAAGGAACGAAGAGAGAAAGCGGCATTATTGACTATAATAATATCTGTTAGTGAAGATATGTAAAAGTTGGAGTGGGACGTACGTGAGGCAACCATAGAAAGTGAAGGTAGGTGCGCTGGACGAAGAGTACTGGGTCTTCTGGATCGTGGTCTTGGAATGGGTAGTCTTTACTGACATTCTTTTCTTGTACTACAGTCCATTTGAGCGATGCTGGTGTATGCAAAACAAGACGCTGAATCGACATCGGTGTAGTAGTCAGTAGTCAATGAGACGCGGTGCACGTGACCGCGTTCAGATGCGAAACGGACGGCGGCAATGATTAAATGACCTTTTCATATACTAACCTTAAAGTTAACCTAACCTTCAAATATCATATATGCATGTTCTGTTGCTCGAAACACTTTTAATTTTCATTGTTCGTGAATGTCCATCCATGCGTACAGACCCTGAACATCTCACCAAATTTACAGTACTTGTTTAATACCATGCACGCACCGAGGACTCTGCATTCGCACAGCTCGGGGATCTGTCAAGTTGGAATATCCCTCCTGTGTTGTCTATATGGCTAATGTTAGGTTCCAGATGAGGTTGCATGAAGTCCTGTTCATAATCGCCCCACCTAGTCAAGATACATGCGTCAGAACTACTATCATGATGCCAAGCCTACATCAGGCCCTATGCAGCCTCGGTATACCACGTGCTGCATCAGTCCTTACCTGTGGTGCGTCAAGTTATCCCCATGCCGCGTCAACCTTACCCATGCTGCGTTACGTCCGCGTCGAGCTTCATCTTGCCTCGTCACTGATGGGGCAGCCGTGATAAGCTTCGTCGGTTCAATGATGGTGATACTATGGAGAGTGTTGTTTGGAAAATACAACGTCCGATGAACGTGCATATATCTGACGAGCAACGCGAATCCGAGGTCTCCCAGTAATCGGACATTCGTGCCGCCTATCTCCCTTTGAGTACTTGCCACATCAACTTCTCATGAGTCTCACAGACTCTACGGAGATTATCATGCATTCTGGCTCACCTGTTCTCACCCAAAGTAGGGGATCCGAGCAACGCCTTTATATTCATGTTGGAAGTTTCAGCCTATAAAACACCTGCCTGCTACTATGGCTTTACCTCATTCCCTTCCACAAACTCTAATCATGTTTACTTCCCGCTCCATCATGTTTGCGCTGCTCAGCTTCCTCGCTGGCGCCAATGCGTGTATACAGTGCCCAGCCTCAATAGAGGTCGACGGCAGTGTCGCTGACCATTACCTCACCCTCCCAAACGACCAGTATACAATTTGCATGTGCGTCGCATTCACACATCTTCATTGAACAAAGTAACTGATAGGCTGGCAGTTACTATAATGACCAGTTGCCAAGCGGCGAGACCTGTCGGTATGGCACCGTAAGTGCTTTCTGGATATTGCGCAGCTCATTGTTCTCGGTGACATGCTAACGATCATCAGGGGAACGGCAAACTTTTACTGGGGTATCAGTCTTGTCCGGCTACAGCAACTTTGAAGGCTCACTGCTGAACTTGATGTAAAGAGGTGGGGGAGACGAAACACCCAACAGGAGAGTTCGTCTGCAGACTGCAGCCGTGTGTGTGCCAGAGAATTGTCGTGTGTTGCTTTGGCTAATTGCATCATCCCAACCCCCTATATATTAGAATACCCCCTGTGATGTCCTTAGTAGAATCATGCCCGGGAATCAGGCTATCATCATGGCAATCCATCAATCCCACCAGGATCATCCGGGATCCCGATCCAGTCCTCTGTCATGTCTGGGCCTTGGAAATTCATGTTGTTTCTGATACTTGTCCCTCGCGATACGGAATTGATGTAACGCACCGATCTGGTCAATTCAACATCTCCATTCGGCGCCCTCCTCTTTCAGATGCTGCATGATGTGTTTGTTATTCGGGTTGTGTCGGCCTACTTACTGTGCGTAGACTAGTGACCAGTCTAAGCTGTGCACAGGCGGCCGGGAAGAAATCTGAGAAAGAGGGGTGCATTCACCTTGGTGCCGTTGCGAAACCAATCAAGAGCGTAGCGTGATACTGTTGGTGTGTATCGGTCCCACCTCCTCCTGTTCAGTCAACCATGATATCCCATCATACCGGCGCCGGGCACCCACCCCCGACTCGTGTTCTTTCCTTTACACGATGTTGTTAGAGACGGTAACATGGTACAAAAATAATTCACTCATGTCAGAGATGAGTTTGATCTTTGATCGATTACAAAATTTCCTGATTGCTCCACCTGCCAAACAAGGACTGTCTCTGGAAACTTGGAACGTTTAGCAGCTCTTGAAGGGAAGTAGTACTAACTGAGCAGTTGGCCCACAATACGGAAACGAGATGTTATGCGAGGCAATGCTGCCAGGAGCTCGCTGTACAGAGCACCGTCTTTGGTATGTATGAAGTCGTTTTGGAAGAATCGGGACCTCCCATGGTCAATTTTGATCCATTTGACACCATGATGTAACAGAAAGGTTGGAACTCGGCATCACAAGCTTTCCTGCTGCTTCTGCAAAAAAAAAAATCCCCGCAGGACGAGAAAATCACAAAGTTCTAGCGCGCTCGCTGCAGCTGTCGCTGTCACTGTCTTAGCGAAGCCAATACGTTTGGGCCCGTGTGAGAAGCAGACTGAGTTGAATGTCGGTTTAGCTATGGATTTGTTTGGCCGTAAGAGCATCACACAGACTGGATGTGCATATTTAGATGAAATTAAAATTTCCCAGCTCCTCGGAACCTCCACTGCGATAACGAACGCTCACCGTGATATCAAGGGCTTGACCGTCGTCCTGCAGCAGGGTCTCTGGAAATGGCCCTTTGAGCATTGTCCTGCCCAGTGATAGACAAATAGCCAATTCCTGCGGGAAATTAGTCTATCAAACTCATGGTGAGGTTCTGTACGAAAGATAGTTAAAATTGTAGGGTTGATCTCGCTTGATATACCTACTAGTGTCTTGATCCCAGCGGTGTGGCTTTTGCAGGAGCTTGACAGTTGAGGGACTTCGCTAGACGTTCAGACCCAGAATCAGATTACACTATTTACAACTAAGTAAGAGAGGTTGAACTTGATCGACTGCTATCACACGAACCCACTGTACCTGAATCCACCTCTATGATTGCCCGGTCCCACCCATGGGATTTGCTGCCACCCCTTCACTATATAGTCACTCCTGACGTGAATCATCGATACGCACAGTTAACCCGTTAACCCGTCAATTAAGTTGCCGGTAGCTTAGTAAGCAACGATATCCGAATCGCTTCCCCATCCCAGCCATAAACACACGTTCTCCGCTGACATCCACGTTCCCAAAACCATGGCGGGGCTCATCTCCCCCAAACCGCTTTCATACCTCCAGCATGCTGGGCAATTCAATCCTTACCAGCAACAACAGCAGCAACAGCAACAGCAACAACAGCGCCTAGCAGGGTCCGCGCTGTCCGGATACTCCGATACGCCCTCCCTGCACCCACACCAGCACATCATAGGTCTTCAAGAAGAAAGCAAGATATACAACCTCGTTATCGACCTTACTGATCCTGCTGCGCGCGAAGCTGCGCTGTTGGAACTGAGCAAGAAGAGAGAGCAGTATGAGGAGCTTGCGTTGGTGCTCTGGCATTCGTTCGGTGAGCTTGGTAGTACTAGGGTTGTTTTCGTACGGAGCTGATGTATGGGTGTGGGGGCAGGTATCATGCCGGCGCTGTTGCAAGAAATAGTATCAGTGTATCCTTTGCTCTCCCCTCCGAATCTCACGGCGCATGTATCGAACCGAGTGTGTAATGCCTTGGCGTTGTTGCAGTGCGTGGCTTCTCACCCTGATACGAGACAATTGTTTTTGAATGGTGGGTTTTGCTTTGGGCGCTAGTATTTAACTTGAGCTGACTTGGCTTGGGGGTTGCCTGGTGCCAGCGCATATCCCTTTGTTTTTATACCCATTCCTGAACACGACTTCAAAAACCCGGCCGTTTGAATACCTGAGGCTTACATCCCTAGGCGTAATAGGCGCTCTTGTCAAGGTTCGTCTCCTCCCCCTCCAAACTCCAAACCCAAACCCTAAACCATTCCATCCCCCTAGCAAAACGACAACAACACAGTAATTCACTTCCTCCTCTCAACCGAAATAATACCCCTCTGCCTCCGCATAATGGAAACAGGTTCCGAACTCTCCAAAACTGTTGCCATCTTCATCGTCCAAAAAATCCTCCTTGACGAAACGGGCTTAACCTATATCTGTCATACTTATGAGAGGTTTTATGCTGTGGGGACGGTGTTGAGCAATATGGTGAATCAGCTGGTTGAGACGCAGGCTGTTAGGTTGTTGAAGCATGTTGTGAGGTGTTATTTGAGGTTGAGTGATAATATGAGGTGGGTTTTTGTCTCTTATGGGGGTTGGGGTCGGGCTGATGGGGTTGCTTTAGAGCGAGGGAGGCGCTGCGCGCTTGTCTCCCTGAACCCTTGCGCGATCAGACGTTTAGCGTACTTCTCAAGGTCAGTCCACGTTCTTCACTGAGAGAGTTTTGCTGACACGGGCGGTAGGGAGATATGGTCACCAAACGATGTCTGACGACTCTCCTAAACAACCTAAACGAGCAGTGATGCCCAATACAAAACGACCCACTCACGAATGATAAAATTCGGACTAGCCCCCTGATTCAAATCCTCTATCCTCTATCTGCTGCTTTTTTCAAAACGTGTACGATTATATTCCCACTTCACTTTATCTCTTGTACCGACCAACCCGATGCAGGCCTTTGCTATCTAAATCTCGCACTAATTGTTGATTATCCGAGTAGAGCATTTGTATCTAGCGTATGAATACCTGAATTACCGAGATGCGATTCAGATGGATGCTGCTGCTGTTTGTTTGAGCGGAGATTGGCCCCCATAGGCAGACGGTATGGAAAGAAGATCGAGCATCATTTGCGTAAGGAAGTGTGTTACACATCTGCAAAACCACTGTACCTCGTCACTAGTCCTCTGTTGTTCCTGAGTTCTCCTCTGACATCTCCGACGTTCCTGACTCCAACACCAACCTGACAGATGCAGACCTTTACTATCTAAATCTCGCATTTGCATCTAGCTTGTGAATACCTGAGTTACCGATATGCGGTTGATGGATGATGTTGGAATTTGGGGGTGTCATTTCTTCTGCTTTAGAGAGGCTCGACTTTCAAGCTGTGCCGCAGTGATTCCCCCACACCAGCACATGGACGTAGGAACGACTCGCTCCCTTCTATATGGTCTGACTACGTGGAGACTAGCGAAAGTCGACAAGTACCTAATTACGTAGATAGGCAATCCAATTGGCTTTGCAGTACTAGGAGGCGCGCTGGCATGAAGCCTGAATGGGTTCGACGACTCCACGAGTGTCCAAAGTTGATCCAAGGTTTGAAATGGGCAATGCATTTCAACACAAGATTCAGGAACTGCGGCACATTTGCACCAAAGACAGGGACTTTGCGCTGGCTCGCCCGTAGAGTTATTCTTCTAGGACTCACGCAAAGTGAAAGTGGGAGTGAGATATTTCTCAGCTTGGTTGTGAGAGACCAGTAGTTGTGAGAAACTGATCAGAAGGCAGTTCGAATAACGTCGAGAGAATTGGTATGCTGCAGGCTGCAGCTAGTAGGAAATGAACAAGACTTGGAGGTAGCCAGCTCGTCAACTTGAAGTCAACGAGCGAATGGGGTAAGATTCCAAGGTACCGTCGGGGCCCGGAGGGTTCACCGATGGTTTGGGATCCAATGAACTTGCTCAGTGCTGAACCGTGAGAAAATTGAGCGGGTGGTGGTCGGAAGCGACGAAGGCTCCCCAGGGGACCCGGTTACTTATAAGTAAAACTTTCGAAACAGCTGGTTCAACTTGAGCTGAGCGCTGAACGTGCGCAAATTTCGAGTTTCGGACTGCATCCGTCACGACAAATGGCAATGCATGAACTCTTCCATGATTTCTTCGGAGGAGCGCCTTCCTCTTCAATGACGAACTCGACATGCCCATCCTTCGTGACCGGCGAAACTGTATGCCTTCCCCCAATTAAAATTCCCTTCTACTTCTCCCTCCGCCCAAACCTATTCGATGGCATTCCAGATACCTATGTCGCAGTCGCTGCGCCCGTGCTCGCTTATTGGTTCATGTCTCTTATTTTCCACTGTCTTGACATCTCTAGCTGGAAATGGCTCGATAAATACCGCATTCACGAGTCAGAGGAGGTCAAGTCCAGGAACTTGGCAACGTATTGGGAGGTCATACGCGCCGTCATAATCCAGCATGTAATGCAAACTATGTTGGGTTTAGCATGGTTGACAGAGCCCCCTGAAATCTCGGTTGCGCGGTGTCAGAGCCAGATGGAGGACTTGGGAAGAACGCTGATATTGGTCTTGCGATTTCTTATGGGAGAGGAAACTGGGATGAAGTTCTTGGACCTCCGCGGGCCTGAGATGACCCATTGGCTGTACTGGTGGGGAATTCCAGTAGTTCAGATCTTATTCGCGCTGTACGTATCCTCCAAAACCTGTCTTGACTTCCCTCTGACCTTTCCAGGTTCATTTTCGATACCTGGCAGTACTTTCTCCACCGCTCCATGCATATGAACAAGTATCTATACAAAAAAATCCACTCCGTGCACCACAGACTCTACGTCCCCTATGCGTTCGGGGCATTATACAACCACCCTATCGAGGGATTCTTGCTGGACAGCCTAGGTGCAGTCATAGCAGAGTATGCCGCGTGCCTTTCTGTACGACAGAGCATATTCCTCTTCGCGTTTAGCACATGCAAGACTGTCGACGATCACTGCGGATACAGTCTCCCATTCGATCCCTTCCAGATGATGAGCGGGAATAACGCAGATTACCACGACATACATCATCAGGTATGTTCCTTTACTACAATCTGTTCCCAAAACAGCGTTAATGAGGCGTACAGACAATCGGCATCAAGTCAAATTTCTCACAGCCTTTCTTCATCCACTGGGACGCCCTCCTTGGTACTCGCATGACCAGAGAAGATATTCAACAACGCAGACAGAAGGTCAAGATGACGTGATGCATCGGCCCTGATTTTATTGCACATTGATATTTGGAGTTTTGGTTTTCTGCATTTCTCGCATTCTCAATTTTTATCGATGTAAATATTTTTGGGACTGCACGATTCGGCCACGGAACCTAATGTCTTTCGTTCGTCTTCCTCTTGTTCGCCGCGCTGTTTGCTGTATAATCCTAGGTTATGAGAGCTATGATAATGTGAATGATGGTGATTCCTTCCCCCCTTATCTCGTGCATCGGCCTCTGTTGGCATTGAAGATCTGGTACTAACCACAGGGTTGCCCGGGCGTGACTCTTGATCGATCGATCCTTGATCAGAGTTCGAATTCGAGCACGTCCTTGACTCGTCCACGTTCATCGGTCTTCTCTCAAGTCTGCAACTGATCGGGATAACCCGCAATCGGGTAGAATGTCCGGCGCGTATGACGAAACTCCATTCTCATGCAATATTTCGAGTGTCCTATTCTTCGCGATGTTTTGCCAAAAGGATCCATATGATGCAGTTGCAATCCAGATACTCCTGGGTATGTGCACACAAAAGGTATCGCGGCAGCGTCTTTCAGATGGGGAGGAACAGACTGCACGCACACCCTTTTACCCGCTATACCTATGCAATGAGATACAATTTGGACAACCTAGTACGCCACATTACAGTAAAGGTTTATTGAACGGCAAGACAGTGTAAGCTTCATGGCCTCATGTTTTCGGTGGCGAGATTTTTCCTTGAAAGAAAACAGAAAAACGGCCAGGCGCAGCAATCATGTCAACTATGCAGTACCAAAGCCACGCAGGACGTGTCAATGTCAACCTCAAACCATCGACGTGGGTACGCCGGCAGAGAGTAAGCAAATACTATGACCATAGGATGTATGCCACTAGGAACGAACCCTTGAAACAGAGCCAACTGAAGCTGTGCTGTACTTTCATATAGTCGACGGACAGCGGCGAAGAACGTGTATTACTTACGATATGTGTTTAGTAATACATTCTGGCTGGTGAGGGATACCGCACTCTCAAAAAGGTTGTAAGATGGGCCGAACTTTGCGAAGTATCCGACGCGCTCTTCTCAGCGTGGGAATCCGGTGTTATCAGCAGAGGAGATATCTCCTTCCAACTTGTTCCCGTTTAAAAATTGACCAAGTGGCAAGTGTTCGGAACTGGCACACAGCCTCTTCGACAACGAGAGGTAGTTTTTCTAAATCAGATTTCGCATGGATTCGATTAATCATTCCTACAGTAACCTCCATGATAACGCTTTCCGATCCCCTAGATGTTATTCCTAGAAGCGAGACCACCCTCATTGAGCGGTGTCGCGCCCGCATCGAATTGAAAGACTGAGTTACGTTCGATGAGGACGTGGTTGCATTAATTGAATCCTTCGCATCCTTCGCACTCGCAGGAATTCTCTCGCCTGTATATCTTACATTCCGCCCGAGATTCTCGCGACTATATTCACATACACCGTAGAAGAGGAGACTTTCGGGGGAACACCCCGCCGTCGTGGTGTTTCTACTCGGGTGACCGTCACACGCACCTGCAGGCACTGGCGTAAAGTTACCCTCGAGTTCCCAACTCTTTGGGCATCCATTCAATGCGCCTCTGCTCCTCTGCTCCTTGGATACCTGTCATGCTTGAGAGGTCGAAGAAAGCTGCTTTGATCGTCACATGCAGTGCACCGGTCTCGCTGAACCATTGCTTGTGGAAATCACTTCTACAGTTACCTCGAATCAAAGCCCTCAGTCGCATTGTGGATTGCTCATCCTTGCATCCCGCACCGTTACTTCAAATATTCACATTCTCGGTCGCCGAACACACTCACCGCGAAGTCATCTGTGACACCCATATCAGACGTTATTTTTCAAGGACGAGCACCCCGACTTCAGAGCGTCGAGCTTGTGCAATGCAACTTCAACTGGACATCGTATATTTTCAGTGGGCTTCGCATTCGGAGGACTAGTAGCAGAAATAATGCAGACTACCACTGTATACATCATCAGGCATGTTCCTTTACTACCGTCTGTCCTCGAAAATACCTTGATGAGGCGTGCAAGCCGCCGGCATCACGTCCCATTTCTCACAGCCTTTCTTCGTCCGCTGGGACGCTCTCCTCGGTACGCGCATATTCAACGACGAAAACAAGTGAAGACGACGTGACGCATCCCGATTTTGTGGCACATAGACATTTGGTTTTCTTGATTTCTCGCCTGCTCTTTTTCTCTTCCAATAATTCTTTTCAGAACTACACCATTCGGACACGCAACCTAATGTTCCGTTTGTCGTTCACTGCACTTCTTGATGTTTAATTCTAGGTTATGAGATATAAGTACGATAATTGTGGTGAATGATGATGATATCACTTCTTTTCCCCCTCGCGTAGTGATATTGGCCGATTGTTCAGAGTGATTCAAGTACGCATGTACATTGTTAAAGAATATGTGAAGTTCTGAGTGAACGCAATGTTCTCGACAATGAGCTCGCGTGTTCGTACCGCTACCAAAACAAGAAGGTCGCACTGGTGCGCGTCGTAGATTATAAGTCGGACACCCCTGTCCCAAAGGACAATGATTCAGAGTTCCTTGTTACAAAAAGAATGACTCGGGTGTTGTGACACACTTGGGTTCCCGGTGGAAGGATTGGGTCCATTTATTCCATGATAGATGATGTTCCCTTCCCGGACGTCCGCAGTTATAGTAGATCAATAATTGACCGCAAGGCTGTAGTGAGGGCCTGCCGAAGTTAGTAGAATTGACGACCGCGTTTCACCACTACGAGATGCAGAATTTCCATGGGGATAGAATTGGGAAGGGTTAGTAAATGTAAAAAATATAAACAGAACAGTTGGACCGGGAGTTGGCAAAGTTGAGGATTGTGCTGAGCGACGAGCAGAACGCTGGAAGCAAGGCTGTGACGCTCTTGAAAAATATCATCACATACGTGTTGGATAAAATGCCGCCCTTTGAAGGTGGAAACCCCTCATCATAGAATTAGTAGCACGAGAAAAGAGAGGAATTCAGCAGCATCCAATGTACATGCATATCTTGCAAGGGAGTTGACGGGATGAAAGAGACGATATGACAGTAAGCGAAGTATGTTTCAGCTTCAATAGAGAAGGCGACTAGGGGGAACGACGTACAGAAGCCGTGGCCGTTCGGACAGGTTGCATGATCCATCAGTGGATTAACTGTTCGAACATGAAAAACAAGACATGATTCATGCGGTCATCTATCATGGATGACGGCCGAATTCGAGACCCAGGAAGTACTAACCGCACTATCACAATTGGATGCGAGGGGCGTACAACGGTTGGAGATACAAGATGCACCCATGTGCAGAGGCGCGGGGAGAGTTATACTGTTGAAGAAACCATGCATAATAACAGGGAACGTTCTTACTGCAGCCTTAATGGGGTGTGGAAGCAATACCGCTCATATCCCAGGCGTCATGGAAACACGAGGCAGGTTAATGCAGTGAGGCAGCATAAAACGCACAATTCATGGACCTCCGCAGCTTAGAGAAAGACATCCACAATCCCTGCACTCAAGTCCACCTCGACCGTGTTCAACACCATCAACCTCCAATCAAATATCGCAGCTCATTCTAAGTACTGCACCCGGCGATCTCAAGTTTCAAGATCATAAGAAGTGGCACCGTAAACGTTGTTACAGATTTTCCTGATCGACGACGTATGTTCAAGGGCTCGAGCGACACGAAGCTGCATCTGTGCAACTTGAAGCTTGAAATCAAGTTCGAAGAAGCTAGCTAGTGCGGGTACTAAGGCCGGGGTGTTTGCGAAATGTTGTCCAAGTCACGTGTATACAGCATACGCGTCTGCCTCCGAGGAATCGCGTCGATAATCAGTCGCGCGATATTTAGACCGAAAAGGACTTAGCGTAATTTTTACAAGACTTGCATACCACAATCATCAATATCATGGGCAACAGAAAGATCTCGTCCGATTTGAAGCTCGCAGTTATTCGCCTGCATGAACAAAGAATTCTTAGACTCAGTGAGATCCTTGACTGTGTTGGCTTCTCCTGCATGACATTCTATAGAATCAAGAAGCTCTACAACGAGACTGGCAATGTTGTCAAGCCAAAGAGCCAATACACTGGTCGTCCACGCGTTTTCAATCTCGAAGACCTCCATTTTGCCCCCGATCCGGATGCCGTTGATGACCCTGAGCTATCGGAATCGGAAGATGTTGATGAGATATCAAGGACGCTACCGTCGTCATCCGAGCTATCGGAGTCATTGATGAACTCTGCACTTTTGAAAGTCTTCGGGTCACAACCCATGTCGTAGAAGATTCAGAAGCTGAGATCTGAGACGTCACGGACTCACGGTACTACAACTCGAGTCTTCAAGTCCTTTTGTGGTCTATGTTATCATTTTGTTTTACATTGAGGTGCCAGTACCATTACATTTGAAAATGGCTGTAATTGATCATCATGATGTTGCACAACGACGGTCCGTAAAATAGCAACACTAGCTATTCACATTTTCTCGGCGGGAAGGCCGGAACCTGTGCTGTTTCGATGACCCTAATACAGCAGGATAGGACAATGATTGGCGCCGGCGGCACCATAGTAAGCAGCGGTGCCAGCGAAGTTGCCAGCTAAAACAGAGAAACCGGGGCAATCTTCTCCCAAGCCATAATCCTCATTGCTTGATCCTTAAAACCTTCTAAACGAGCTACCGCAGATCCACCACGACAAATATGCCTGAACTCTTCCACCCTTTCTTCAGAGGAGCCTCAACAGCAACCAACTCGACGTGCCCATCCTTCGTGACTGGCGAAACTGTATGCCTTCCCCCAACCAAAATTCCTTTCTACTTCTCCCTCCGCCAAAACCTATTTGACGGCATTCCCGACATTTACGTCGCACTCGCTGCACCGGTACTCGCATATTGGTTCACCTCTCTCATATTCCACTGTCTTGACATCTCTCGCTGGAAATGGCTCGATAAATACCGCATTCACGAGTCTGAAGAGGTCAAGTCTAGGAATTTGGCGACGCCTCGGGAGGTCGTGTGGGCCGTCATAATCCAGCAAATAACGCAAACTATGTTGGGTTTAGTATGGCTGACGGAGTCCCCTGAGATTTCGGTTGCGCGGTGTCAAAGCGAGATGAAGGACTTGGGAAGAACGTTAGTCTCCGTCGTGATACGTCTCTTGGGTGAGGAGACAGGGGTGAAATTCTTGGAGCTGCGGGGGCCTGAGATGACCCATTGGCTGTACTGGTGGGGAATTCCAGCAGCGCAGATTTTATTCGCGATGTACGTGCTATTCGAAGTCTGTCCTGACTCCCCCTGATGCCTTTCCAGGTTCATCGTCGACACCTGGCAATATTTGCTTCACCGCTTGATGCACACGAATAAGTATCTCTACAAGAAGATCCACTCCGTGCACCATAAACTCCACGTCCCATATGCGTTCGGGGCATTATACAACCATCCTGTCGAGGGCTTCTTGCTGGACAGCCTAGGTTCAGGCGTTGCAGAGTGCCTCGCACGTCTTTCCGTTCGACAGTCCATTTTCCTCTTCGCGTTTAGTACATGCAAGACTGTCGACGATCACTGCGGTTATAACTTCCCCTTCGACCCCTTCCAGATGATGAGCGGAAATAATGCAGACTACCATGACATACATCATCAGGTATGCTCTTTTATAACTATCTTTTCTCGAAAACAGTAACAGCGTTGATGATGCCTGCAGACCATCGGGATCAAGTCCAATTTCTCGCAGCCTTTCTTCGTCCATTGGGACGCCCTCCTTGGCACGCGCATGACCAGAAAAGACATTCAACAACGTAGACAGAAGGTCAAGACGACTTGATTTATTAATCCCGGTTCATTGCATAGAGATTTGGTGCCTGCATTTCTCGTTTTCTCACTGTTTATCGACGGAACCGCACAATTCAGCCACGCAACCAAGTGTATTTCATCGTTCGTCACGCTTTTTCTGTATAATCCTACTTTACGAGAGCTACGATAATGTGAATGATAGTGATCTCACTTCCTTCTCCCCCTCCCCCCTCGCGCAGTGATAAGTATTGGCCCCTGTTCGCATATGAACGTCCCCCCACTAACAACAGAATCGGGCGCGACTCGTAATCTTCTGTCAGAGCTCGAATTCCGGCGTCGTCGACGTTAAATAGTCTCTTCTCAAGTTTGTAACTGACCGGGATAACAAGCAATAGGGTAGAATTCCTGGAGCGTATGACAGTAATACAGTATTTGACGAAACTTCATCTGATCCTCATGCAATTATTCAAGGATGTCCTATATTCTACGCAGTTTTTACCAAGATCCGCAGAATCCAGATGGTACAACAACAGTTCACCTTTGATCAAGAGATCGAGAGAATCCATGCAGTTTTTCGTACTGCTACATCGACGACAGATCTACATTTTCAGTATACGGGCCATGGGGTCTTCATATGCTGTGTTGTGCCTCGTATCCAGGCCCAGAGCTCCTTGATGGGTTATAATTTAGCTACGCGACAATATCAGGGTTTGGTGGTTCTATATTTTTAGTGCGGATGCTAAGCTACATAGATGTCACCGCTTTTCTTGATGGGTATGCGGGTAGGTACCTGCCTGTACCCTACGCAAAAATGTTCACAAATGGGTGTCGCGGCCTGTCGCGGCGTCCTTTGAAACCTGCATTAATATTATTAAGTCCTTCAGGCGACCGTGCTGTCTATCATACCCCATGACTTGCTAGGATTCAACGTTCTGTCCGTCTGAATGTCTACTATAACATTCAAGCAGGCCAAGGACTCTTTCCCATTGATCCTGCGATATCATAGGCGCAGCCCACCACTCTAGCAACAACGGTGAATAGAGAAATTTGAGGTTCAGGTCGTCAACAGCTGGCTGACAGGAACACATACTATATACAGCGCTTTCGCTTTCAGGTAGAAGTATGAAGTAGGATGTGATATGTCAGAGAAGGATGGACACTACAGTATGTACTGTCGACATTAAGCTAGTCTAGAGTGACAATAAATAGGATTAAACAAAACAAAACATGGACATGGACACTTTGTTGCGGGCCGCCGACATAGTTACTGTGGACGTCGAATACTCGAAACCGTGTTCCTGGCTAAGTTGATAGCATCCCCTTTTCCCGCAATAACGAAGGTCGGAAAAGCGCGAAGATCGAGTGGGAATTGAAACGAAAGGCGAAAGGACATTGCGAGACAAGGCAGATGCGGCAAAATGGACCTGGACAGGATTGCGACGAAGACAATGTTTAGAGACGTGTGCCACAGGCTATCGCATTACATGATTCCGCCAGTATTTCCGTCTCGTACTGCATCCTGTTGAATTTCACTGTTATGCCGCAGCTGGTGCTTAAACAAAGTACTAACTCGTTTATACAATACCTGCAGTCATGGACGCGGATGGTGTGAAATGTGCTCCGCTTACAATTGCTACGAAGACAGTCCTGCACGTAACGAAGTCCTCCAATCAAATTAGCGACTAAAAGGAGAACGGATGTCTTACGAGTGTATAAGGTCCCTCGTGAGTTCTGTAGTCGGGTCCAATTCGTAGAAGGGGTGCGGGGCAGCCGCATGCATGTCGAGCTTTAAAGATACGCGTACACATGAAGAGTAATATCAGGATGATGGGAGGAATAGACTGCACGTACATCCTTATAACCTCTGCACCTATGCGATGAGATGCAGTTTGGACAACCTAGTACGCCACATTCCAGTGTCGGTTTATGGAACAGCAACTTGAAGATAGTGTAAGTGGCGGAAATCGTTTCATTGCCTCGTGTTTTCGGTGGCGAGAGTCTTCCTTGAACGAGAACGAACAAAATGGGGACGAGAACGTGTGGCAACTACGCAGTACCAGAGCCACGCAAGACGTGAAAATGACGACTGATTTCCTTAAACCGTCGACGTAGGTGTGCTGACAGATAACATGCAAATGTTAATATAGAATGTTCGCCACTAGAAATTACCTTGGAACAGAGCCAACCTGTACTGTACTTCCATATCATAGGCGGACAGCGGTGTATTACTTACAACATAAGGATGTTTAGTAGTCCCTTTTGGCTTGTGAGGGATACCGCAATTGAGATGGGTCGAACTTGATACAAAGTGCGAAGAAAATACGAAAACATCTTCTGGAGAGCCTTCATCCTGAAATTGTGGCATAGTAGGAATGGTAGAAGAGTCTGGTGCTTGGTTGGATTCGCCTGTCATGGTCATGACTCGGAGCATTTCGGAGAAGACCCAGCCGGCGCCCGACCTGTTCCAGCGTCGCAGTTAGAGATGGTATCACCCCTCCCATAATCATTAGATATGATAACGCTGGGACATTGGCATTGGTAGTGCTCCAGGTAGGCAAACGCGAAGAAAATACCACAACCGCCACAGTGGAGGGAGGACACCAGGCGAAATCTCATCATATCTGCGTCCCAGGAGTAACAATTTCGACTGAACGTGTCGTAGAGCTTTCTTCGAAGAAATATTACGGGGTAAATGATGTTGAATTCAATCCATTGAACTTTGAGTATCTGACGCGAGGAGGTTGACAGTTCAGATTTACAGCCGTTTGCTAATGCAATCAAGTTGAATCAAGAAAGAAGAAGATCTAGAAAGTCAAACAAGTGTACATGTTGCTCTGTCGTTAGAACTTCAACTAGGTCGAACTTGGACATGGACGGTTGATCATCGGCACATATGTCCGGACAATATATCAGGTCTACACCTGTCTACACCCCCAGCTACCGCATTCTGGGATTCGACCAAAAAGTGGATTTCCCGTCTGGATGACATCTGGCGGACTCAATTTTGGGCCAAATCTGTCCGGATAACCGTCTATAACCGTCAGCTGGCCTCCCCGCCTATATTCAGGGGTCCTAGTAGCACTGCCTACTAGTATGCTCGCTGCAACAATCAACATCAATATATCGAAAAATCAGTGCGATGTCAAACTACAGCCGCGCACCGACGCAACGCACGGAGAAACTGGGGAAACATTCTCCCAAGTCATAATCATAATTACTTATAAAACCTTCGAACCCTGAACGTGCCTCTGCAGATACGTCTCGACAAGCTACAATGCATGAACTCTTCCAACCTTTCTTCGAAGGAGCGTCTTCCTCAACAGCAACCAACTCGACGTGCCCATCCTTCGTGACCGGTGAAACTGTATGCCTTCCCCCAATCAAAATTCCTTTCTACTTCTCCCTCCGCCAAAACCTATTTGACGGCATTCCCGACATTTACGTCTCACTTGCTACACCGGTGTTCGTATATTGGTTCATGTCTCTCATATTCCACTGTCTTGACATTTCTCGCTGGAAATGGCTCCATAAATACCGCATTCACGAGTCGGAGGAGGTCAAGTCTAGGAATCTGGTGACGCCTCGGGAGGTTGCGTGGGCCGTCATACTCCAGCAAATAACGCAAACTGTGCTAGGTTTAGCATGGTTGGCTGAGTCCCCTGAAATCTCGGTTGCTCAGTGTCAGAGCGAGATGGAGCACTTGGGAAGAACGTTGGTCTCGATCGTGTTATGTATCCTGGGTGAGGAGACAGGGTTGAAATTCTTGGAGCTGCGGGGGCCTGAGATGACCCATTGGCTGTACTGGTGGGGAATTCCAGCAGCGCAGATCTTATTCGCGATGTACGTGCTATTTGAAGTCTGTCTTGACCCCCCCTGATGCCTTTCAGGTTCATCGCCGACGCCTGGCAATACTTCCTTCACCGCTTGTTGCACACGAACAAGTATCTCTACAAGAAGATCCACTCCGTGCACCACAGACTCTACGTCCCATATGCGTTCGGGGCATTATACAACCATCCTGTCGAGGGCTTCTTGCTAGACAGCCTTGGTTCAGGCGTTGCAGAGTGCCTCGCGCGCCTTTCCATTCGACAGTCCATTTTCTTCTTCGCGTTCAGTACATGCAAGACTGTCGACGACCACTCGGGTTACAGCCTCCCCTTCGACCCCTTCCAGATGATGAGCGGAAATAATGCAGACTACCATGACATACATCATCAGGTATGCTCCTTTATAATCGTCGATTCTCGAAACTAGCAACAGTGTTGATGATGCCTACAGACTGCCGGTAGCAAGTCCAATTTTTCAACGCTTTTCTTTGTGCATTGGGACGCCCTCCTTGGCACGCGCATGACCAGAGAAGACATTCAACAACGTAGGCAGAAGGTCAAGACGACGTGATGCATACATCCCGATTTTATCACATGGATTTGGAGTTTGACTTCCTGCATTTCTCGTCTTCTCACATTTTATCGACATAATATTTTCGGAACCACACGACTCACGCAACCAAATGTATTCCATCGTTCGTCACGCTTCTTGCTGTATATGATAATCCTAGGTTACGAGAGGTATGATAATGATGATGGTATAACTTCCTTCCCCCTTCGCGTAGTGACCTTAGCTCGTGTTCACATTCGAAAATTCGGTACTGGGTGCAGTGTTAGTTAGTCGTGAGCTCGCGAACATACTACTAAATTGGTACTAATCAAGTGGCCTTACGCCAGACATGTTCTTAGTCTTTCTCGTCACCGCCAGCCACTCGTGCATTTGCTTGTAACCACCCACCGCTCCCTTTCGCGTTTTGGCATGGTATTGTCGAGAACACTCGTAAGACAATTTCGCATTCCCCAGGCCTCAGTTTAACTCGCGTCCGATCCTCGCAAGCCTCTGTTTGTTTCGCGTCGGATCACGTGCCAGTGCTTCAGTTCGACCGCAAAATAATTTAATAAACCTCTCCTCGTGACTGTGGCTAGCAGCTGGCCGTTTACTACTTAGGAAGCGCCCTGATCAGGCCTGAGGCCTGAGGCCTGATCCTTTATCAGAGTTTGAATTCCGATGCGTCATTGACCTCACTCCAATTTTTGTCGACGTTCACGTGCAACTCGTTTCTTCCCCAAGTCTCTACACGACTGGGACAACATGGAATGGCTTCACTCTTTCCATATTCCAATCCAGGTCTAACTCCCCACTCCTTGCTTCGTTTCGAGATCCTTCATTTCGTGTCTTACAGTGTGCATGGCAACTTGAAGTGCTAGGTCAACTCTTTCAGACGACCGTCCTGTCAATCTTACTTGCCAGGAATCAACTGTCCGTCAAAAACATCCTGAAATGACTACCATCACATTCAAACAACTCTTTCCCATTGATCCTGTGTCTATGGGTGTAGGCTGCATAGCTACAACATCTAGCCAGGAGTTTCCGGGCCAGGCAGTCAGACGAGGACATATAATTGTCTGGCACGGAGAAACTGCAGTTGAGGATTCTCTCTCATTATATGTCAAGTGAGTTGATTCAATCATTACCAAATAATGGTGCTGTTTTGCATTTACTGCAAGCCCAGAAAGGATGACATTCGTTGAGTCTGAGAACTCAGACAGTTTGGGCTGGACAAATACCTTCTACTCGATGTGCCTCGCCAGCAACAACGGGCTCAATACTCCCACTGCCACAACATGCTCAGGAACATGTCAGCAGGGTGACTCTTGGATAGTTTATCATCGCAGCCCGCACCGTTACTTCACACATTCAAATTCACGAAGCTGGTAAACCATCATCGAGCAGACATCACGCCCATGTTGGATGCCATCTTCCCAGGACGAGCGCCCTAACTTCGGAACGTTGAGCTTATGCAATGCACATTCAACTGGATGTCGTCTGTTTTCAGCGGGCTTCAAATTTTAGATGTAAGAAGAATAGGGCCTGCTTGTTATCCTACTCTGTTGCAGCTGCTGTCAACTCTGAGACAAATATGCAGCGAACACATACGTGTCTGCCTTCACGTCACGCATATGGTAATGCTGTCGCGCAACCACGGTCCACGGTGAAATGACAACAACATACATTTGCTTGGCGGGAAGGAATATGTGCTGTTCGACGACCCTCATACAGAATGAATGACTCGCCTAGGAGGCAAATTGGCGCCGCGGTACCATTGTAAATAGTGATGCCAGCGGAGTGCCCAACGGTGAGTCAGCGTCCATTCATTGCCAGTAGCTGGCACGGAGAACCTGGGGAGATATTCCCCCAAGCTATAATCCTAATTACTTATAGAACCTTCAAGCCCTGAACGTGCCACTGCATCCCCTTGCATCCCTCGCGACAAGCTACTTAATGCATGAACTATTCCACCTTTTCTTCGGAGGAGCGTTTTCCTCAACAGCAATCAACTCAACATGCCCATCCTTCATGACCGGCGAAACTGTATGCCTTCCCCCAATCAAAATTCCCTTCTACTTCTTTCTCTGCCAAAACATATTCGACAGCCTAGGCAGTCCAGACATCTATGTCGCAGTCGCCGCGCCCGTGGTCGCTTTTGGTCCATGTCTCTAATGTTCCACTGTCTTGACATCTCTCGGTGGAAATGGTTCGATAAATACCGCATTCACGAGTCAGAGGAGGTCAAGTCTAGGAATTTGGCGACGCGCTGGGAGGTCGTATGGGCTGCCATACTCCAGCATATGATGCAAACTATGTTGGGTTTAGCATGGTTGACAGAGCCCCCTGAAATCTCGGTTGCGCGGTGTCAGAGCGAGATGGAGGACTTGGGAAGAACGTCGGTCTCCGTCGTGATACATATCCTGGGTGAGGAGACAGGGGCAAGATTCTTGGAGCTATGGGGACCTGAGATGACCCATTGGCTGTACTGGTGGGGAATTCCAGCAGCGCAGATCTTATTCGCGATGTACGTGCTATTCGGAGTTTGTCTTGACTCCCCCTGATGCCTTTCCAGGTTCATCGTCGACACTTGGCAATACTTTTTCCACCGCTTGATGCACATGAATAAGTATTTCTACACGAAGATCCACTCCATGCACCACAGACTCTACGTCCCCTATGCGTTCGGGGCATTATACAACCATCCTGTCGAGGGTTTCTTTGTGGACAGCCTAGGTACAGCCATTGCAGAGCGCATCACACACCTTTCCGTTCGACAGTCCATGTTCTTCTTCGCGTTCGTCACATGCAAGACTGTCGACGATCACTGCGGTTACAACTTCCCCTTCGACCCCTTCCATATGATGAGCGGAAATAATGCAGACTACCATGACATACATCATCAGGTATGCTCCTTCCGTCTGTTCTCGAAAAAAAGTAACAGCGTTGATGATCTCTACAGGCCGTCGGTATCAAGTCCAATTTTTCGACTCCTTTCTTCGTCCATTGGGACGCCCTCCTTGGTACGCGCATGACCAGAGAAGACATTCAACAACGTAGACAGAAGGTCAAGACGACGTGATGCATACATTCCGATTTATTCCATAGATTTAGAGTTCTGCGTTTTTCATCTTCTCACTTGTTATCGACATAAATATTTTCGGAACTACATGATTCGGCCACGCAACCAAATGTATTTCATCGTTCGTCGTGATCTTAGGTTATGAGAGCCACGATAATGATGATGGTATAACTTCCTACCCTCGCGCGTAGTGATTGTTCACAGATGAAAGTTCGGTCGATTGATCCTTCATTCGGACGCGTCCATTCATCACTTCAATTTTCGTCGACATTCACTCGTTTCTTCCCAAGTCTCCAAATGACTAGGATGACATGTAACGGGCTCACTCATCCCATATTCCGATCCAACATCTAACTCCCTAGGTCTCCCTGTTTCGTTTCAGGCTCTTCATTTCATATCTTTCAGTGGGCACAACTCTTTCAGACGACCGACTCATCAGGGATCCATTGTCCGTCAATAGCATCCTGAATGACTACTATTAAATTCAAATTTAAGGAGGCCGTTGATCCTGCCATGGGCGCAGCTCACAACATCTAGCCACAATAAGCAATTTCTGGGCCAGGTGATCAGACAGAGGCACATGTCGTATAACAAGTTGTCACTTGCAGACGTTAGTACAAAGTAGGGTATGATATTTAGAGAAGTTCTAGCTTTAAAGCTTTGCACCTGTCATAGCAAGACGCTGAAGCACCGCAAACCAGCTACCCCTCGGGACGGCGGGGCCAAATAACCACGCTTGCAACCACGTAGCAGCTGTGCCTAAAACATCATATCAGTGGGCTGCTCAGCGCCGCGGTCGTACAAAAATGTACCTTTGATTGGTCCCAATGCCCCCAAACCAAATACGCGGAGAATTGTGAGAAGAATCCCCTGGGAAAATATTGCACCAGTCGCAATGCACGAGAGGGTCCACGCGAGCTCGGGATGCTGTTCATAAAGGTCCCCTGTATCATTTGATATTGGCTTGTCAATGTTCCGGAATAGTGAATCACTCGTGACGTACCAATGGTGACCACGATATGTTGAACACCAGACTTGAGAGAACTGCAGTGACTTTTCAAGACTTCCTCGCTCATTCCGCGGTTGATGGCGACCTGTAGAAAACTCTCCTCGATGCGGTCAAGCACCGTAGTGATCATGACCGTACGGTTCTCGTGACCAGAAGCCTCCCCGGGTGGCGGAAACTGTTCTTTAAGCTCTTCAAATAGAGCACGGAACCTATTTCCAAGTTCTTCTGATACCGAGTCGAGAGGAATGCCACGTTCTTCTGCGGCGCTGTAAGGATTCCATATTCTCTACACGCCGACCAAGCTTCAAAATGAAGACGAACGAACCACGCGGTCGCAGTCGTCCACGTGACTCATTGATGCGAAGAGCGCAACTCTTCGCATCTGAGTTACGTGGATACATTCCTTTCATCTCCCTTCTCCATTCTCTTTCATTACTATACCTTGTGCTCAGACTTCACGATACCCTTGTCTCACCGAAGTATTTTCACCTCGCCATATGCTCCTTGCTCTCGTTCCGGCCTAGTCAAGTACTCGAAAACGTATATATATCGCCCATGTACACTCATACCTACAGCGAATCCTAGAGTCAGATCCCCGCTCCAAGCACGACCGAAAGCCTCACAGAAAGTCTCTGTCTCAATCGTTTTCCAACCCGTCTCGATACTATCAAAACTCATCCCCTGTTTTTGCATCGTTTCGTTCACAATTCCCTGTCGAACTCACACTCAGCCTTACAGCGCCTTTGAAGGCTTGGTGAAGTGCGGTAGCCGTGCTGGCAACGTTATCCATAGACATCCTGAACTCCGATATCTTCTCGGAGGGATAGACTGCCATGACATATTGAAGGAGTTTTTCTGGATACCCTTGGATATTTGGACTGAGCTCTATGGCTTTGTCCCAAACAGATTTTCCTATGTTTGGAAATTCCAATCCATTGTACAGTGTGTGCGCTGAAGCAGACAAAGAATCAAGTTTTCCTGTCAAGCTAAAGGCAGAGCCTTCATTACTGAGTAGGTGATCAATGTGACCGTATAATCCGTCCGCGACCTGTAATGGCTTGTCGAGAAACGCTGTTGATCATTTTTAATACAGTAGACTTGCTCATACAGTACACTATCTCATAATGCATCAACTTTGGAAGGTCCCACCGTGGGCCAGTGAGAAATTGAACCATAATGCATAATGCATAATGCATAGACCTACGGGACCATTATGCATTATGAGATAGCATTTTTGGCCGGTCAATGATCTTGTTCGGGTCAGCATATGCATTTATTCATGCTACGTCGTCAAAGGAACCAACCTCAATTACCCCATCTACCATGTCCGAGTCTGCTCGGAAACGCAAACCTCGAGACACACCCCCACCATACCAGAAACAGCAAAAAAAACCAAAGGTCAAAAATACTCCGGTGACTTCAGCACAACCGGCGGTGCGCACAGCACGTCAAAACCTCACTCTCAGTGACTGGTTGATGGTTTTTGCATACATTGATGCACACCCAACAGTCTCACAATATGACATTGTGAATCACTTCAAGAGCCTCCAGACAGGGGCTTTGATTTTTACACAATCAACTTTATCGCGGAAGCTAAGGGAACGTTCAGTTTTGGAAGCACGCATCAATGACAATCCAAATGCTTTGTCATCGAAACGGCCACGTATTGTAACTAGACCTGATGTCGAGAGGGCACTATTTTTGTGGGTCAGGCACATGGAGGAGAAAGGAGAGCAAGTCAATGGATCAATGCTGAAGGAAAAGCGACAGAGATTTGAAGAGTTGTTTGAAGTGCCAGAGGAGGAACAGCTCTCAGGGGATGGGTGGCTGACACCATTTTGTAAGGCTTACAAAATTCGTGAGCATCGACGGCATGGGGAAGCGGGGTCAGTTGACCTTGATGCTGTTGAAGTTGAACAAAAACAATGTAGAGAAATCTTATCAGAATTCGCACCTTGAGATTGATGGAATTTTGACGAAATGAGTTTCTTTCCTTTGTAAGTGTCTGAACCCTTGAGCTTACTTCTTCACCCAAGCTCACTGCTCAATCACTGTAGTGCTCCACCAGATTGTGGCCTTTCAACAAAGCAAATGAGTGGGAAGAAAAAAGAGAAATTCCGCATAACTATCGGTCTTGCCTGCAATGCCGATGGAAGTGAGAAATTCGAGGCAATCTACATTGGGAAGGCTAAGAAACCCCAATGTTTTAAGAAATTGTCACCCGAGCAGCGCGGATTCTATTATCGCAACAACAAGAAGGCCTGGATGACAATTATCCTCTTTGAAGAGTAAGAGACTTAGTTTAGATTCCATCATCAATCAAGTACTGACTGGATACCTGTGTACAGATGGGTTAAGAAATTTGATTCCAAGATGCGCCGTGAGAATCAACATGTGTGTCTATTTGTGGACAATTTCTCCGCGCACACAATATCTTTCGAGCCAACAAATGTGCAGCTCGAATTTTTTGAGCCTAATATGACACCATTTGTGCAGCCTTGCGATGTGGGAATCATCCACTGCTTCAAGGCACTGTACCGCCGCAATTTCTGTGCACATGCACTTGATCTCGATGAAGCAGGTGAACGTGACATTTACAAAATCAATATCCTTGAAGGGATGTTGATGGCTCGCACCGCATGGAGAGGAGTCTTATCAATGACAATTAAGAATTGCTGGGATCACACCCAAATTCAGCCATATGTCAATTTTATTTCTCGCTTGCATCATTGATCTCGGTCATACATTACACTAGAGACACTCCACTAAATTCTGAAACCTTACCATCCTCTCCGAGTCAATTACCACATGCAGACCCAGCCGCTTGGCATGTTATTTGAGATTTTGCCGTAACCGAGATGTCATTGCCTGATGCAGAGGCACGCATCAAAGAAATCCTCGGCACTCGTTATGTCGATGGTGATTGGAGACCTGCTTTTAAGGCTGTGATGGATGCGGAAGGGGACTCTGACACAGCCACAAGCGCAGTCGAACAACTCGAGAAAGCAGCTTCTCACCGAACCGGCCTGAAAATTTGAATTCCCGCTCGCTGACCTCTTCTCACTCAACTCACAGCCCTCGAGGATGAAGTCACCACCTCTCTCCATGATTTGATGACTCGTAATCGCATTTTTGGGAGGCCGCTGTCTTTGGACGAGTTTCTTGAGCCGGCTGAAGAACAGGAAGTTGGAGATTTGGGGTTTGAAGGTGGAGATAAGGATATTGTTGCTGCAGTGAACCGGGAGATAGCAGAGAAAAGCGGTGAGGTGATTGAGGTTGAGTCCAATGAAGAAGAGGATGCCAAACCAGAGGTTTCCCGTGCGGAAACACTTGCACTGTGTCAGCGGCTTGAAGGGGCTTGCCTCCAGTTCGGAAATGCTGATTCAACACTTCCACTTGAGCTGTTGAAACAGATCCGTCTTTTCCGTGCTGAGCTGCGACATGAGGAGCTTCTACACTCGACACAGACTACAATAGATGCTTACTTTCATTAGATATATACTCCATTGGTGACTCGGATGCTCTATCACACACATACGGTGTCACAACTTGTCACGAGCGTGACATATGTACTAATGCATAAATCTCATAATGCATAGTGGTGAAGGGGGTCCCAGCATTATGCATTATGAGATAGTGTACTGTAATGCATAAATAAATTAAATAAAAACAAATCCATAAAAAATCATTTTTTGACGCACAAAACTATCCATTAGCAGCAATATCTGGACCAGGTACATTACTATCAATGGGTCACTGTGTGTGTCCGAAAATAATTATGTCCTGATTTGTTATGAATTTTTATGCGTTATGCGTTATGAGCAAGTCTACTGTATTAGTAAATGATTCGAAAACAGTAGCCATGGCTGCACTCACACTTCAATAACCCCCATCCTTTGCCTGGGTTAAACACAATCTTCAAAAGTTTGTCGTGCGACATACCTCCCTCAGTGGCCGTCTCTAATACTACACGTTCGTTGCAGGAACAGGTACTCTGTCCATTGTTGCTGGAAGTAGCAGGTTGCAGTGACAATGCAATAAATGCCAGAATAGAGAGCCTCATCCTGCTGCTAATAATGACTGGTACAGATGATCGTTGAGGTCGGACCTACAAGGACCTACAGTAGACTTGCTCATAATGCATAATGCATAAAAATTCATAACAAATCAGGACACAATTATTTTCGGACACACACAGCGACCCATTGATAGTAATGTACCTGGTCCAGATATTGCTGCTAATGGATAGTTTTGTGCATCAAAAAATGATTTTTTACGGATTTGTTTTTATTTAATTTATTTATGCATTATGAGCAAGTCTACTGTACATGGTTTTTTCCACACGTGGGAAAAGGTACCAGGCGCTTGTTGATGCACTATGTGCGTCATCCCAGGAGTGACGTTTTTGACTGAAAGTGTGTTGTAGCTTTCTTCGAAGAAATGTTAGGTACGCGGTAAAGGCTGGATCTCCGACGCGATGTACCATCAAGTCTGTATTAGGTCAGCAGTTGACGCAGGAGACAATCATATTGCTTCAAACTGCTTGACTCTGAGCTCTTCGAAAACGAGAGGTATTCTTTTTGAGATTCCGTATAGACTCTACTGATACTGATTACTCTGTCAAGTCCTCCAAGATGACACTTTCCGCTTCCCTAGGTGCTATTCTTAGAAGAGGGACCACCCTCATCGAGCAGTGTCGCACCCACCTCCACAAAACATAGCTACATTCGACTAAGACATGGTTGCAATAACTGAGTCCTTGCGTGTCCTTCGCTCTCGCGGGAATGCTCTCGCAGGTATATCTTACATCCTACCTGAGGTTCTGGCGACTATCTTTACATACATCGTCGAAGAGGAGACTGTTAAGATTTTTAGGGGCGCATCCCGCTGTCGTGTTCCTGCTAGTGTGATAGTCACACACGTCTGCAGGCATTGGTCCCAAGTCGCCCTTGAGTGCACGACTCTGTGGGCATACATCGATTGTGTCTCTGCTCGTTGGTCAGCCGTCATGCTTGAGAGGTCGAAGAAAGCTGCTTTGGTCATCACATGCAGTGTACCGCCCTTGCTATACGACCATGTGAGGGAAGTTCTTTCACAGCTACTATCACTCCTGGGAATCTGCAACTGGCATGTAATATGCAAAATGTTCAAAACACCTCAATGCGCTGCTTGAATCACCTCGAAAAAATTCATGTGTATGTAGGCTACTTAGAGATGATGTATTGTCCAAGTAGAATAAAATTTTCTTGAGTGTTGCAGCTGCGAGAGACAGAATAGTGGTGATTTGCAACCTTGTATAATCATAAATGATCCAGATCCCATAGATCCTAGAGAGATATTCAAAAAGTTACACCCGGAGCATATCAAACACCTCGTCAGGGTGTCAGAACACAATTTCGATAGAGGCCATTCTCTTGTTTTAAGATGCTATAGACAGAGGATTGACGACATGTATGAAAGCGTGACAGCAGATAGGAGAGTGTGTAAGAAATTCAATCTCCTCCAAGTGAAAGCCGCTACTGTGCCGATGTGTGACACGACGTGACCATGTTTTGCAGAATACCAGTCAGACCCTGAATTTTCTCGGCCTTCATCCGACACTCCACCACAAAATCCTTAAAATCAGAAAAAATCAGATTCATATAGAGCAGCTATGAATCTATAATGGTGCAAATCTGTAGAAGAAAATATGATGTGGTTGAGGAGTTACAAAAGATTTATTGAAAATGTTGCAGAACCCCAGGAGTGATAGTACCTAGAATTAAAGTCCTCCAATTGCGCTCATCCCCATTGGGTTTCAATTGCATTTTTGACTGCTTATCATCGCAGCCCGCACCGTTACTTCAAGCATTCAAATTCTCAGCCGTGGGGCGTGCTCGATGAGGAACCGTCAGGCGCATATCAGACAACATTTTTCAAGGACGAGCACCCCAACTTCGGAGCGTCAAGTTTATGGAATGTAACTTCAGCTCGACGTGTATTTTCAGTGGGCTTCGAACTCTACATGTGAGCCGGATGGAATCTACCTTTCAGCCGGATCCTACTCTGCCGCAGCTCCTGTCAGTTCTGAGACGTATGCCTGGTTTGGAGCAGCTTACGCTTGAGCTGTTGTGTACAAGTTCCGACGGCACCGAGCGGTTCTACTAAGTCCCACTTACTCTGTTGAAAAGTATAGTGCTGGACAGCTTCACCATGCAATCCGCTATATCTCTCTTCTCACGTATAGCCCTTCCCGCTGATGCCATGTGTGATAGGTACACACATCTGCACATACTTCAGTCATAACCCTATGTAGAAGTGGTGCCCCGGATGTGCCAAATGGCTGTAGAATGTGTACCAACCAGCACCGGCCTGTACATGCACATTGGTGCCGGCCAAGGGTGTGAGAGTGGTACTGGCCAACCACTCAGGTGAGGCTGTCTATATATGTGGGTACAGGCTGACCACTGCCTATACATGTACATTGGTGCTGGCCAGCGGTGTGAGTGTGGTACTGGCCGACCACTGCTTATACATGTATATTGGTGCTCCGGCCAAGGGTGTGAGGGTGGTACTGGCCGAGTGAGTGTGGTACTGGTTGACCACTGTTTGTACATGTACATTGGTGCTGGCCAGAGGTGTGGGGGTGGTACTGGCCAACCTCTGCTTGTACATGTACATTGGTGCTGGCCAGAGGTGTGGGGGTGGTACTGGCTGACCACTGCTCGTACATGTACATTGGTGCTGGCCAGAGGCGTGGGGCTGGTACTGGCCGACCTCTGCTTGTACATGTACATTGGTGCTGGCCAGAGGTGTGGGGGTGGTACTGGCTGACCACTGCACTGCTCGTACATGTACATTGGTGCTGGCCAGAGGTGTGGGGCTGGTACTGGCCGACCACTGCTCGTACATGTACATTGGTGCTGGCCAGAGGTGTGGGGCTGGTACTGGCCGACCACTGCTCGTACATGTACATTGGTGCTGGCCAGAGGTGTGGGGCTGGTACTGGCCGACCACCCAAGTGAGGCTCCCTACACACATACATCAGTACCAGCCAACAACTTAGGGCATCAGGAAAAACCTACACATTGTTGAATAACTGTATAATACTTGGCCAAGTCTTTCCATGACTTGCACTTCTAAGATACTCAAGTCCAGCAGGATATTTGACTTATGCAAGTTGATCAGTGTCAGTAGATAATGTAAGTATACAAATATATTTAAGTGTTCATGTCTTATGTGATGTTGAGCATCATGGTCAAGAACCCAAGTATCTAAAACAACTCAAGAATGATAAGGAAAGTGTAGGTTTCCTGATGGTATTGATGAGAGGGCCGGCCGGTGCATGTCCAGGCCATGTACAGGAAAGCAGGCCGACACCTCAGGCATTCATAATAACGCCGGCCGGTGCATGTCCAGGCCATGTACAGAAATGCAGGCCGACACCTCAGGCATTGATAACAGAGTCGGCCGGATCAGGACCATGTTGTGTACAAGCAGGCAGGCCGACACTTCAGACATTGATAACAGAGTCGGCCGGATCAGGACCAAGGGGCGTACAAGCAGGCAGGCCGATACCTCAGACATTGATAACAGAGCTGGCCGGATCAGGACCAAGGTATGTACAAGCAGGCAGGCCGATACTTCAGACATTGATACCAGAGCCAGCCGAGCCATCTCCAGGCTAATACCTTAGACAAAGTATTATCAAGAAAGATGTTGGTTTTAGTACTATCACTTGAGAGTTAGTCATTCAAATTGTACTATCTGCAAGTATAAATGGGCCAGCTCTAGAGTATGACGTGTAGGCAGTGATCCTGACCACCATAACTATCATATATTGGCTAGATAAGTCTTTGATATTATAATAGCAAAGACTGTTAAACGACTACAATCATCTTGTCTTTGAATGAATTTTCAGCATCCAATGCAAATCTTCCCCACAAGAGCACCTGTCGATGTGCATAAGCTTGATGACCAGGCTTTGTAGCTTGTCGGTATCTTTGGTCCCATTCTTCCATCCTGTATTTAAACCAACTCACTGTCCAACCCATTTCGTGTTGGACCAATCTCAACTCCTCCTCCCACCTTTGCCATCTAGCCTTAGCTTTCAACCAATTTACCCTGTAGACTAATACCTGTCACTGCAGAAAATAGGCATATTAGATATGACTTACATTCATCCATCCACACATCTTCCTGCGAATCATGACCGTTGTTGACTCTCCAAAACCAAGCCAGTCTGTCTGATCCCTGCCCATATCTGTTCTCTTCCGTCACTTCCTTGTCCACACTGAGCTGGTGTGGCTGAATGTCTTGATAAATCGTCCTCAGAGTATCTTCATCAGCCCCTAGTCTCTGCATCGAACCCCTTGCCCTTTGATACCTTCGGACACACTTCTCTATTTTGATACGACATCGTAGAGCCTCCTGCTTTGACCTGGTTCCTGTCCATGTGGAATCTGCACTTCGGAAATGTTGACGGTAAATTATCGCTTTATGACCGAGAGCCTGCCGTAACTTTTCCAAGCAATCATTTGCTTGACCCTTTCGTAACTCCAGTTCTTCAGCTTGCAGAGTGTGCAAGCCCAGGGCTAAAGCCTCATTTCGGAGCACTGAAGATGGCATCCAAATGCCCATGGCTTCTGCAGGAACTTCCTCATCAATCTCTTCCAACACGTCTTCAATATCTGCAGCCTCCCGCACTTCCTCCACCACATCTGTAGTGCAAAATCTGATGTCATCCATGTGCTCAGTACCTGCATGGACTTCGATGCCCTCTGTCATAGCATCAGCAATTTCATGAAATTTCGAAATACGTGCAGCCAGTTTTTGTCGTTTCACTTGAACTGCAGCCCTTTGAACTGCAGACGCATCTTTGGGAAGCTGCCGAATAGCTACCCTGAGTGCATCCCTAGATAGTAATTAGAAATACGTCATCACCATCAATATATATGATGAAACAACATACTGTGAATCCTCTATATTGATGCCGTCAATGAGCCAAGAAATTGATCCCAACCTCCCTGTATCAGCATATTCTGATTCAGTTAATTTTAGCCGTATTTCTGCCATTGTTGGTGCTTCCAATCACCCAATCAGAATGTACGGCACAGGGAACTGAATAGAAGCTTCGAAGTGCTCACCTTTATCTATCTTTAGCTGGTAAATGTTGAGATGTTCTCCACGTTCTTCCTTTGCCTTCTCCTCGTCTTTTTCCCACGCCCTCACTTTGATGACATCCAAAGATCCTGTAAGCTCTTCAAATGGCACCCTAGTGTCTTCAATGCCCTTGTTGGCCCGTTTGTACTTTCTCAAGAGCGTCTTAACTGCATCAGTGTGAAACTGTGATGTCATTCATTCCAAATATAGGCACTTACCTATTCTGACAAGTTTTTTCCAATTTGAGTTACGCATATGATCATCAAGAATTTCTTGACGGTGTGCTTGGCTCATAGAACGTGCTGTGGGAGATATCTTGTTAAAGGGAGCCCAAAGTGTCTCCAGAATTTCCCCGTCAACTTGCCCAGCTCCTTGAATGAAGTTTAAGCTGTATCTAGCAAAACAGGCAAGTTTATGAGCGCTCAAGTGAAATTTCCCCACTGTGGCCACAATCTCGGTGTTGTCTGGGAGTGCCAAGCCAGGGCAGTTGTCAACACGTTGAGTGAAGTTAAGGCTCCACTGGCACCCCACATCATAGATGATCAGGGAGTTGTCAATGTTGCCAGCAGCATGCTTAATGGCATTGCAAATGGAATAATCTATATTCATGTGGCTTGAAGTGATTTTGTCAGCATGTCAAGCCCAAGGCTCGTCTTAACCTAGATTGAGTAAATGAAAGAAAACTTGCCGTTCACCCTTCTGAAAGTCCACTATGCAGTGGGGAACAAAACATCCATGCCGAGCACAAGCAGTGGCACCGACCCCTGTAGCTCGGAGGTTGCTTCTGTTTGTGTTTGCTGCATTGACGGCCCGATGGTTGCTACACGAGGATCGCTTTCTACAGGTTTAGCCACCACTAACAATACAAAGCAAATCGATTCACCTCTTTACTCTCCATAGCTGAAGCCAAGTGAGCTTGGTAATCTCCGTCTGTTACCATATAACCTAAACCATCTGAGAGGAAGACGTCAAGCTGAGGCTGTCGCATGTTCATGTGCTGAGCGGTAAAGTTTCCATCTACCACAAATCTTCTCATAACAAGCCACCTGCAATCAAAAAGTCAGCATCCACGAGTTATCTGGAACCAACAACTTCTGGCCAATAGAGACAAATGGTCGGCCCCGCCTGACTCTGGGCTGTGTACAAAGGTACCGGCCAGCTGACACATTACTGGCCAGTAGAGACAAATGGTCGGCCGTGACTGATACTGGGCTGCGTACACGAGGTACCGGCCAGGACTCAGCTGACACATATTACTGGCCAGGACCACTGCTGCGCTATGCACTGTGGACACTGGCCGGAGTCTGGCAGACAAGGTTGGCCAGTAGAGACAAATGGTCGGCCGTGACTGATACTGGGCTGCGTACAAAAGGTACCGGCCAGGACTCAGCTGACACATATTACCAGCCAGGACCACTGCTGCGCTATGCACAGTGGGTACTGGCCGGAGTCTGGCAGACAAGGATTGCTGGAATTGACTTGCCTTTCGTACTTCTGCTCCCAAATAAGAGGCATATTGATTCCTGGCTGCGGACAAGAAGGGCAAAATAGAGCAAGATCTCCTGCACTAGGGGGTGCTTCCATGTCATGGCCAAATCCAAACCATTTACGGTTCTTCAAGTCGCGCCAGAGTCGAGACACTCTCATGAGTTCATGATATCGATCCTACAGATGGGAGTTTGCATTCAGTATGAGCTAGAATTATGATATTGTCAATTCTACTCACCGGGACAGCATCCGGAAAAGCATTATTTGTCAGCCGTCGGATTTTCTCAAAGAAGCTCATTGCCGAAGTCTTGCATTCCAAGGCATCAATGAGATAATGATCCAGTACTTCGAAGGTGAACGCAGTCCTAGGGCGTGTGATACTGGCGGGAAATAGTCCTGCTTGGAGCAGCTGCAGGTGATGTTCGTGATGTGATCCTGGACACCGACACCACAACACATTGTGTGTGAACACCCCAGAAGAATGTACAATAATCACAGAAGAATCTTGATCAAGGTGACTTTGTCCAACTCCGTAGCAAGGGCAAGACTTTCCACCATGGCCCATGTGCCATATAAATCCTTGGGCAGAAAGAGTGACGTCTTCAAAGCACTTGCCATTCCAAAATTGGATTTTGTGGAAAGGCAATGACTGATGTGATTCGAGGAGGCAAGGGCGACACCAGCTGTGGTCGCCAGTGCAAGTTGTGCAACGGAAGGAACTATCTTCGCATTGGCAAGTCTCACAGATGCCTGTGGTGGCAAATTTCTCTGAGTCCAAGATGACATCTAGATACGCATCTCGGTGAGCGAGATACTCTGATATGAAGTCATTTTGCGTCTATGCCATTGATGAGAAACAATTACTAGTAAGCCATGGCCTGTTAGACATACCTTTGTTTTTCTCCCTTGCTCAGCAGCCTCTACGTGAATAACAAAGTCACCAAACATTTCCTGATTTAAATCCTCTTCTTGGATGTCTGGTGATTCTGTGTGTACTTCTTTAACTCGTTTTCTTGGGCTGGTAGTAGGCTCTGGCGAAGTTTGATACAGCTGATCAGCACAAGACTCAACCCAAGAGGGATTTCCTTCCCCTCTTGTCTCTTGTAGGTTCGTGAGCAACATAATCAACATCCAGATCCTTTGTTTTGATAACTTTCCTCTATGTTGGAAAGAATAAGAAATAGCCTTGAGAGACGTTGCCTTTTTTTTGAGGATAGTGCTTAGACCGAGGAAATATTCCAGTGTATGAGAAGTCAACCGATTTAAAATCACAAGCTTTGTCTAATCGGGATATCTATTTTCTGGAAACTACTCCTCGTCCCCTGCTCTTATTTGATCTCCGAATGGCTTTTAAACCCCCCTTCTTACCTGCCCCCACTCTATTCAGAAAATCCCGCTGGTTTGGAAACTTTGGTCTCGGTACACCAAGCCTATCATGTACTTTATCCTTGACAAAGTGTGCAATCACAATTCTCTCCCCATCACCCCACCTTGGCACTCCATGCTCCAGCACCTTCCCTAAAATGTAAACCATAGTGCCAGGCGGATATGCTAGCTCGGCACCCAGATCTGGCAGAGCTAGTACGGCACGGTGACCTTTGCCAAGGCTCACCAAAAGGTCATAGAATGAAGGCGATGCTCCGGGGTCTCGGTGATTTGGCGTCTCTCGGTTGACAATAACTTCCAATCCAGAAAACTCCGAGGGCCAAACAACAGGATCTGAGGTACGAACCGTATCCTTCATATTAGCAACAGATTCCACACCAGCCTGATATTGATCTGGCGCAATAACACTGGTGATAGCGGACCACAAATGTTCAGTTACCGTTATTTCGGACAACCAATCTCGGACTGCAGGTGAAGAAAGGGAGCTTGATTGGTACAAGTCATCCTGAAGCCGCTAGCCCATTTAAGTTAGTTCTGTATCATGGCAAGTATATGAATACAGAGTTACCTCATGGCGTTGCATGAATCCTCCCGGGCATAAAGTCACCCTTCCTACTCCAAATTCTCCCCCGCTTGAAGGCATGACAAATCCTTGAGAACGCCAAGGCTGCTTTGCCTTCTGAGTTGGCTTGGGCAAAGACTGATCTAAGGCAGGTCTCAGCAATTTGATGGACTGGTTGACACGATCCTAATTATAACTTATTAAAAGGACTTAAACTGTAATCAAATCAAATTCATACCATTCTATCAGGCACCACGATTTCTGGCAAATACCAAGCAAGGATCCTTCCATGCCTGTCAACAAATGTTGCCGGCTCCGATATTGAACCAAACGAAGGACAGTGGAAATATTTTGCTAGCTTATGTCTTTGGCTGTCAGCATGCGATGGATGGGACGCCTTGGCACTGTCCGCAAACCGATCTGCATCCAAATCCGCTCGCACTATGGCAACATAATGAATGACAGACCCCCCAACCATCAAATCAACACTTACGGGGATTAACCACAGCATAGGCTATTATGACCGCAGCCCTGGTAAGTTCAATCTCGGCAATGACATTCGCCTTGACATCACTACCAGTACTGGACAGACGTATGTCCTGCCACTTGGCCCACAATCTAGTCCTTAAATTCCAGCTGTCAAGTTTTTCTGGACAGTGACGTGAGATTCCCTTACCTGGCTCTTTGCAGCAAATTGTCATTGATTTTGTCACCTATCAGCAACTCATACGGCGATGAATCACGCAGTAGGTCATCTATAAGCCTACAGAGGCTCTTGGACAGAATTGTCACAGCAGGATCCACCATTTTTCGGTGGTTGGAGTTTGGAAAATCAGACTTGAAACAACGGAATGGTAAAATTTTCAACCGCAGGCGGTCTAGACTATAAATGGTTTAATTTACAATGTTGGAAGATCCAAATCGGGATAACTTCTAATTTGGATGGTGTCGTAATATAAGATTTGCAAAGACATACCATCCAAGCAGAGGCCTGTATTGTGAAAGAAACAGATGAGAAACAGCAGTCCCAACTTAAGTTACCTTACATCCTTCAAATTCAAGCTCAAGAAATGGCAGTCCAGACATAAAAGCTGGGAGAACCTTTAAATTTGAGCTTTATGCTAACGGCAAGTAATAAACTGGTCTGCCAGTGTTGAAAATATTGTGTCTTAGGCGCGATATAGCACAGTCGTGCAGGTAAATCCTCGTATCTGAGCTTTCCACCTGGGCTCAGGAAAAGAGCAATCGCACTCGAATATGAGGCTTTTGGTAAGGCCCACATATCCGAGCTTTGAGACCCGATTGCTCTTTTCCTCAGCTCAGGCGGAATACCTGAGATACTGGCTGCATGCTATGGGCCTTACCAAAGATGTGATTGCTCTTTTCCTCAGAGAGCGTGCCGGAGTGTAGAGGAAGGAAACGATTGCGATACGGTGGATGGAAAAGATGACGACGCGAAAATGACGACGACGGCGCGGTACGGACAATGAAAAAGCGGACGACGACGATGTGAACCAAAGCCGACAAAGAAAAATGAGCGAGCAAAAGATAAGCCATGCGATGCGTGAACTCTACATTTTGCAAATGGAGGGAGGAAAAAGACAAGGACAGATAGAGATAGAGAGAGATAGAGAGATGTCGTGAATTGGCGTAGGATCGTATCAGTGCGTGGAGGTTGTGCGTCAGAAGATTCAAGTGAAATACCTTACCTGAGATACCGACTCATATAGACGTGGTTCTCTTTTCCTCAGCCCAGGCGGAATACCTGAGATACCGGCTGCATGCTACAGGCCTATGCTGAGGCAACGAGCAATTGTATCTCAAAGCTTGGATATGAGGATTTGCTTTTCCTCAGTTCAAGTGAAATACCTTACCTGAGATACCGACTCATATAGACGTGGTTCTCTTTTCCTCAGCCCAGGTGGAATACCTGAGATACCGGCTGCATGCTACAGACCTATGCTGAGGAAAAGAGCAATCACGTCTCAAAGCTTGGATACGAGGATTTGCTCTTTTCCTCAGTTCAGGTGGAATACCTGAGATACCGACTCATAGACGCGATGAGGAAAAGAGAAATCGGGTCTCAAAGCTTGGATGAGGATTTGCTCTTTTCCTCAGCTCAGGTGGAATACCT